GTGGACATCCCTGTGACCTGGACATTTCCCAGTTTCCTCCCCTGGAAGTCAGAGCCAGGGGTCTTGGCTGGGGAGTTCTGGGGGCCTGATACCGGACAGTTCTCTGATGCTTCCCTTGAGCCTGGCATGGATGTCATGGACACTTGGGCCTGGCAGTAGGCACAGGTGACCCACGCCACAGTGGTGCTGGTGTTCACAGGAGGACAGCCCCAAAGGGCCACTGGGGCAGGGTGTGTGTGGAGGACTTGGTCAGGGCAGGGGGTCTCAATTTAACCAGAGCTCTCTTGGCTCAGCCCCAGGAGTGGAGCTAGGAAGGACCGCCTGGCATAAAGGGTGGATACTTTTTAATTGGGGTCCAGAGGGAGGAAGAGAGAACAGTCTAGGGGTAGGAGCCTCGGGGACCAACCCCACATTTGAAGATGAAGAGATCATAGCACAGAGAGGGGAAGCGACTTGCCTGGAGTCACGCAATGAGTGAGTGGCAGAGCTGGGACTAGAAAGCAGAACCCGATCCCTGATTTGGGGTCCTCCTGCTCCCGGGGCCCCAGAGGTCCCTGTAATAACGTGTGTAAGGGTGTAATGATGACAATGGCGAGCCTTATCTGTGCCAGGCACTGGGCTTCACAAGTTTCATCTTATTTCATTCTTGACAAGACATCAGAGGGAGGGACTACTATTACTGCCACTTAAAGACCAGGACGCTGAAGCACAGAGAGGTTGAGGTTAAGGTTAGTGTGTCAAGGTCACACAGCTAGTAAGTGGCAGAGCCTGGATTTGAACTCCTGAGTCCTGCTGCTCTAATTCACTATTATAAAAGCACTCTCCTTTCCCTGGTCTGCTGAAAGGGAAGTATCTGTGCCCAGCATTTGCCCTCTGTCCTGGGCCCCCATCACAGGAGCCAGTGCCATGTCCTGGGTCTATCAAATTCTCCTCATGGGCAGGGAGGCAGGGCTTCCTCTATACACAGGGAGGGGCACATGGGGTTTCTCCCTTGTACCCTCCTCCCTCAGCTCCTCCGGAGGGGGCCCTATTCGCCCTTACAGGCTCAGTGAGGTGCTTCCTCCACCAGAAAGTCCTCCCTAATGTCCCCTCAGCAAATGCCACTCCCTCTTCTGGCCCCTGGCACCACGTTGAACATTTGGGGATGGGCCGACCAGCTCCATGCGCCCCAGCTTTGCCGCTTGCTCAGTAGCCGCCCGCCCGCAGCGCCTCTGACGTTGCATCTGTAAAATGGGAACAGGAGCCCCGCCTCCCAGGATCTCCGCGAGGATTAGCAGCGGCCCCGTCCTATGAGGAAGCACCTGGCACCCAGAGGCTCCTGCCACTCTCTCCTTCTCCTTGTCCTTCTCCTGGCTTGCTCCCGGTCTCTCCTCGCCACCCCCGCCCCGCGCCTGGCACCGCGCCCGGCGCGCCCAGCCGCCCAATCCGCGCTCGCAGCCCCGACTTCCTGCCGCCCGGCTCCCTCGGCACGTGCCCCGCGCCCCCGTGACCGCGCCCCTCCCGGCGGCTCCGCGCGCGCCCTCTGGCCAGGAGCCGGGTCGGGGGTGCAGGGCGCCCAGGCTCCGAGGTGGGGCCGGCGGCTGCGGGGGCGGGCCGGCGGCGGCGGCGGGAAGAGGACGCTGCCCCTTTAAGGTGCCACCGCCGCGTGGCAGGGAAACAGCTTGTGCCAGCCCCATTCCGCCCGGCTCCGCTCGCTACAAGGAACACAATGCATAACAATCAGGCGCGCGCTTGGAGCCGTGCCACGCGGCGGGGGCGGGGCGGGGCCGCGGGCCGGGCGGGGCGGGGGCGCCGGGTCGCGACCCGGCCGGGGTCTGGGGGCCGCGGGGGGCCCGGGCCCGCGCTCCTCCGCGCGGCTGCTCTGCGCCCCAACAGGCGCCCCGGCGCCCCCAGCCTCACCCTGCTCGCCTCCCCTCGCTCCCCGCCATCGCGCTCCCTACAAAGTTCATTCCCACTAACTCTTTTCCAGGCCACTTCCCCCTCACATCTGACAATCGGGGCCCCTCATTCTCCCAGTAATCACTCCACTGCACTAATTGCACATGCAAATATGCAAATGCGTATTAATTAATTACTATACTAATTAGTTCTGTGGTATTTGCGAGTAATAAATCATTGGATGGGAGCGAGGAAGCTGGAGACCTGGCCCATTTTCATTCTGCATAAAATTTTAATGGTCTCTCTGGCTGATCCGGGACGGCAGCGCGCGGAGAGGCTCTTAAAGGGCCAGTGGCGGCGGGAAGGGGCAGGGGCAGGGAGCGCGGGTGACCCTGGCGGCACCTAGCTCCCTGGGTAGACTTGGAGATGCAGCCCCGCGCCCAGCAGGGGCTGTCTCAAGCGGGCGATTGGCTTTTTCCTACCCCTGTGGGACTCAGTGTCCTCCTGGGTGGCTTCTAAGGAGAGAATCTGGGCGGGGAGGAGGAGGCTGAACTCAGATTCTTTAAGAAAGGAAAGAGGGCAAGGAGCTCTGAGAGTCAATGCCAAGGCCTTTGAGACCCCTGGGAACCTGGGAGACAGGAAGGAAGGCTCCATTTCCAGGATAGCTGAGTAAACTGAGGCACAGGACAGGCCAATCTCAGCTCCCACCCCTTTCTGTCCCCAGGGGAAGGAAGCTACAAGCATGTCCTGGGTGGCCCAGGCTCTCTTCTTGTATCTGGTAGGGGCCACCAAGGTTGGGGGTGCCTCCAGCTTTCTCTTTCCACATGATCAAATCGCGGCCCCGCCCCCGTGGGCACCAGCTGGCACCCTGGCAGAGCAGTCCTGGGCTTGAGTGGGCCCCGGGGACCCTGCTTTATTTCCAGGAGGTAGTCAGGACCCGGGCACCGGGAGGGGGCTGGCTGTTTGCAGGGCCATTGACTGGGGAAGGCAAAGGGAACCAGTTGTGCCCAGGCCAGGGTCCAGGGGGAGGCCAGAGGTGGGCACACTGAGGAGGTGAGGATTGAGGGCTTGTCCTGAGCTGGGGTCCCCAATGCCAGGGCCTCCAGTCTGGTCCTGCTCACTCTCCAACCTTTTGCCTTCAGCAAGCCCCTAGGCGGGGCAAGGCTTAAGGAGGGTCAGAGCCCTAGTGGGGGCTGATGATAATGACAGCAACTAACAATACTATTAAATCCTGCAAACATTTATTTAGCTGGAGAGCTGTTCCAAAAGCTTTAGATGCCTCACAACCACCCAGTGACATAGGTTCTGTTACAGTCCCCGTTTTATGGATGGAGAAACAGGCACGAGAAGGTTAAGCAACCTGCTGAAGGTCACCCAGCTGTCAGTAGTGGAGAAGGATTGGCACCCAGACAGTCTAGCTCTGGCATCTGAGTTCTTTCCCCCACACTCTACCCCCATGTCTGCAGCTCCTGCTATGCGCCAGGCCCAGTGCTAACAACTTTACGTGCAGTGTCCCATTCAACTCTCACAGCAACCCAGGAGGTGGGTTCTAGAATTATCCCCATTTTAGAGATGTAGAACCCAAGGCACAGAGAGGTTGACTAAGTTGCTCTGGGACACACAGGGGGAGTGTAGCAAGGCCAGGCTGTGGCCCGGCCTGTATGAGAGCAGAGTCCACCAGGCTCTGGGACAGGGTGGAGAGGACCAGGGCAGAACAAGAGAGGAGGTGGAAGGGCTCTCAGTTAGACTGTGGGAAGAACTGGCTTCTGGAGAAGGGGCTCCAGGAGCTGAGGTGGGGTGGAGACTTTTCCTTCCTTTGCCAGAAGGAGGCTGGGGAAGGGCCATGGCTGCCCAGTGGGCTAGAGGTGGAGGCATGGGGGGAAACAGAAAAGCCCAGAGTGGTAAAGCCTAGTCTGACCTCATAACCCAGGAATCCTGGTTGGGTTTTTTCCTTAATTTTGTCCCAGACACACTCCTACCTGCCTCCATCCCATTCCCTCTGGCAATCTCTTGGGCACCCTCACCCCAAGATTTGCTACTTTCTCTGCTCCAGTATCTACTCTTTCCAGCAGGGGAATAAGAAGATAATACTATGATCACTTCATAATAAATCACTTTTTTTACCATGTGCTTATATGTATCAACTTGTTACATTTTCATAATAATTCTATTATTATCAACATTTTGTAAATAGAGACACTGAGGAAAGAGAGGTTAAATGACTTGACCAAGGTCACACAGCTAGTAGGTGGTAGAACTGGGATTTGAACTCCTGCGCTAGCTTTACCACCCTCCTGCCCCTTTCCTACTGAGCGTGTGGCTACAGGGGCATGGCCGAATTGACCCCCTACCCCTGTGGAGGCAAGGATCACAACGGCAGCAGGCTTTTCACCCTGGGTGTCTTTGGAATTTGCAGAGGCAAAGAGAAAGAATATGCCTCCTTCCTGCCATCGTAGTGGCCCCCAGCCCTCGTGGATTTTCACGTTGTCTTTTATGTGCTAGCAGGAGCTGGGCAAAGTGGACGTTCAGGAGGCCAGACCTCCTCTGCGTCATCCTGGGGGTGGATGTGTGTGGGGATCTCCCAGGAGTAGGCTGCCTCCCCTCCCAGCCCACCCCGGAGCGAGGAGCCGGTTAGCATCTGTCAGGGGGACCACCCTGATATGGGAATTGAGATTCCTATGCTCTCAGGGACAAGCCCTGGGCCCTATCAGGGTCCCCTTACCTCCAAGGGGCTCAAGGGAACTTCTCCAGGGAATCCCGACACCTACATCTCCCCAGAACTAGAGAAACCTTTGACACCCACCTTCTGGGCCTGGAAGTCTAGGGTGACGGGTTGGAGAGCATTGGGAGGGATGTCCTTTGGGCTGCGGCCCACCAGGCAGGAAAACCCATCCTCATCTCAGCACTCACTACAGACCAGAGAAGCTGGGTTCATCAGGGTTTCCCCCCACAAGCCCAGTTTCTGGGGGCAATGTTTGGTGGGGGGTGTTGGGGGAAGGAGGCATGAGGAGCAGGCTGGCGGCTCTGAGCTTCTCCATGCAGCCCCCGGGGCCGGGTGCCTGGGCAGGAGGAGGGGGCAGAGCAGCTGCTGGCGATTTATTAAGCAGTCACGGAAAAATTGGTTTATAAATTAACAGCTGTTTTAACTTTAGGGCCTCTTCTTCAGGGAATGGAAGCAGCCGACTGGACCGGGATTGGAGTGTGTGCGAGGCTGGTGGAGGGAGTGGGAGGCGGCGGACTCCGGCAGCTGGCATTCTTCGGGGGCAGCCTCAGCTGGCACCTCGGGGGGCACCAGGCAGTGGCCAGAGCAGGGGGTCTCCAGGTGCCGCGGGCTGAGGCTGCCCCCGCTGTGGGCTGCGGCTTGGTCTCTTCTCTGCAACACCCCAGCTTCCACCTGGGGGCGCCAGAGGGCACAGACACTGCTGTACTCGTTTATGCCACCAGAGGGCAGCTTCGGCACATCGATTTCTGCAGCTTCCGCGGTGGGTCCAAACCGGGCTGGGTGGGAGAGAAACCTGGTCTAGTAACCCAGCAAGAACGACGTCCGCTGCAAGAAGTGCGTCCAGGCGATCCTCCACTCGTCCATCCTCAGTGGGCTAAAGGCAGCAGTAAAGACTGAGGGCTCTGGAGTTACACTGTCTGCGTTTGAACCCAGGCTCTGGGCAAAAGCTGCTGAACCCCCCTGAACCGAATCGCCTCACCTGTAAATGGGAATGATACTAGTGAGGTGCATATAAAGGGTCCAGCCCAGTGCCCAGCACAGAGTAAGTGCTCCATATATGTCACCACTGTCAGTTTCTATGACTCATGGATTTACCTATGCATTCCTTCGTTCCTCAAGCCATCCTCTCTAGAGCATGTAGTGCAAACTGTACTCTGGGCACTGCAGCAGGCAGGTGGTGATGTAAAGACGGGTGGTGGGAAGGACGCGTCTCAAAACAGTGTGCTAAGAGTTATGATACACCCAGTGGGGCGGGAAGGGAGATTGACTTGGATGGAACAAAAGAGAATGTTTTAGGGTGATGGAAACATTCTATGTTTGTATCCTGGCAGTGGTCACACGCTATAAAATTTTCAAAAACTCATTGAAATATATATTTAATATTTTATTGTATGTAAACTCTAACCCAATAAAGTTGAATTTTAAAAAGCACCTAAGTACCCAATGTGAATTTATTGAATGGGCAAAGAGATGGATGAGTGAATGAATGAATGAACGAGGGTGTAAATGAATGTCTCAGATGATTGCCCACTTGTCCTAGTGCCACCACCGTCCTGGCTGATGGTACCTTTGCCCTATCCTCTCGGTGTCCAGGGTTTCCCTAGAGGAGGTGGGTCTTGGAATGTCTTTCCCCCCAACGGCCCCCCCCACACACACACAATTTCCCCAGCCACAGAGAAGGAAGCCCTGGTGCGCCCAGACAGCCCTCCCGGCTCCTCTAAGGCTGCTTCCCGGGACTTCCTTGGGCCTCCCGTCCAGCTGCCACATGCCAACCCAGACAGCTCCAGCTCGGCCAGCTCCAGCTCCGCTCCCTGGTGCCAAGGTCACAGGTGTGATGCCCAACTACGGACCTGCAGTGCCAGCAACTTAGCGGCCCAAACCCTGGCCGACTCCGCCACCTGCTGGCTCTTTTCAGAACTGCATCCCTAAAGCTCCAGGGAAGCAGGAACCTTTTTGTCGAGGTCCCCTGCCCTGGGCTAGGGGCTTTATTAAATTTTACCCCATTTAATAGTCACAGCCACCGCGTGAGGGGGGACTTTGAAACATAAGGAAACTGAGACACAGGGAAGGTAAGACATTTTTCCAAGTTCACACAGTAAGTTACAGACCTGAAATTCCTACCCAGGACTGTCAAACTCCCTAGTTTATGTTCTGTCCATGTGTCCACATCTTGCCTGGGGAGAGGAAGGGAATATTCCCAAGCGTCTCTTCTACCCACCTCTCCAAAAGAGGGCAGAGGCCTCGCACCACCTTCTCAAACTTACCTGCAAGAGGAGGTGAATGTAGTGCCTCGGAATGCCAGGTGCTGTGGGAGGCACCGGGCAAGGATAAATGGTGGGAAGGACACGCCTCAAAACACTGTGCTCAGGCCTGACACACTAACAGACACCCTATCATAAACTTTTTTTGTTGGTCCAAGCAGGAAGACCCAGAGTTCAATCAGAGGTAAGTCAAACAAGGTCTTGAATTTGTTCCTTGGACCCAACCGCCTGTGCTTCTAACTCAAGAATAATAACCAAGGAGTGGCATATTATTTTTACATCTCATTTGCATATGATTAATCCTAAATCAAAGTGAATGGAGGTCATCCGGGCCCCTTGATCATCAGTGCACACCCCTCCCATGTGCCTGGTCCTGGCCGCCTCCTCCAGCTCCTGCTGGGCTCCACTGTCCTCCCAGCCCCTCCCCACTCCCTGCCCCTGCCCGCCCTTCCCCCAGCTCCCAGAAGTCCCTTCCCTTCCTCCTCTGTCGCCGCCCACGAAGCCCCCACCACCTGGCCGCCCACCTGAAAAACTTTTCCCCAAGTTCTTGAGAAGTCGCGTAGGATCCAGGAGAGAAAAATCAAAGTAATAAAACCTCATTTAATTCCTAACGGAGGGCAGAGCTGTGAGCTGCAATTATCTTAATGCTGAGCTATTTTTACTCTCTCTCCATCTCTGTCTCCTGCCTCTCTCCGTCATGAGCTTTCTCCTCTCTGCCTGCCTTTGTCTCTTGTCTTTCACATGTGTTGTCTCTTTTCGCTTTCTCCTACCTACCCCCTTATCTCTCTCTCACCTCCAGTCTCTGTGCAGTCTCTGTCATCTCTCCTTCCTTCTTCCTGTCTGTCCCTTGTGTCTGTCCCTCTGTCCACCCCTCTTGGCCCCAGGGTTTAGCAGCCAGAGGTGTGGGTGGCCAGGCAAAGGCTGGGAGCAGAGGGCAGAGACCCTCCCTCTACCCCCAAAGATGCCATCTTCCAGTCCTAGAGGAGGAGGAAGATTCTCGGCTCTCATTTCCCTTCTTAGCTGCCCCTACCTGGCATCAGAGGACTCTTTCCTGATGCGGGTCTCCTAGAGCTCCAATACTTTTGGCAGGTCCTCCATAAATAAGCCCTTTGGGTCAAATGAGTCTCAGCTGCCGTGTTCCCCAAGGCCTTCCTGGCTTTGAAGGGCTCTGAGGTGCAACTGGTGGTGACTGCCTCCCTGTCCCTGTCCTCTCATCACCCACCCAGCTCGCCTCTGTCCCCTTCATCCCACCCAACCATCCTTCCCCGTGCCTCCCAGCTCTGGAAGCCACAGGCCCTTTGGTCCACCTTTGCCCAGTGGCTGTTCAGATTCTGCCTGGGCCATGCCCTTCCTATGCCCCTTCTTACTTTCCAGACTTCCTCATTCACCCTCCCACGGCATTGCCAAACTGTCCTTTGCCACTCCCCACCATGCCCCATTGGGAAGAGGGGCTCTGGGCCAAGCCAGGGGCTGCCAGAGATGCCCACGCCCCTGGGCCAGCAACCTGGCATCCGGCTGGGCTGTTTCCTAACAAGTATGTACGTCAACAAATGCCCAGGAACTTGAGCCAGACCTGGGGTTGGCAGACGTGGAGCTGAGTGGCTAGGACATCCCATTCCCATAAGCAAAGCTCTGCCCCTCCTGCCGCCCAGCTCCCTCACCCCCAGAGTGGGCCCTGACCCTGTTTCCATAACATTTCTCTGGCCTCTCACTCCACCAAGGGGTGGAAAAGCTGCCGGGGGAATTGAGGGGTAGGGAGGGCTCCTGGCTGTTCCAGGCCTGAGAGTGAGCAGGAGAGAAGACGCCAATACCAACAGAGCCCCAGGAAGACACACGCATATGTACACACGTGTACCCTCTTGGCACCAGAGAGAGAACCCTCACACACCGCAGAGGAAACCCCAGCTCCCGCAAAGACACCCAGAGCCTGGACAGACACAGGGACATTCCAGCCAGGGGCTTCTCCTCTCCCCTGGTCCAGAGACACACACACCTCTGGAGAGGCTCACACCTCGGAAAGGAGCACACCCCCCTCTCTCCCCAGCTCTGTTCCCCTATGCACCAAACTCACACACGTGATGGCACGTGTACAGGCAGCCCCCAAGCCCACCCCCACCCCGACTCTGAGCTGGCTCTGCCCCCCACCGATAGATCTGGGGAGAAAAGGCAGGAGACACGTGAATCCAGGGAACATTGTGGCAGGGACACATCTCCCTCTTCCCCCCAGGAGTGTCACACATTCACAACCTCATACCCTGTCTGCTGTGGGTACGGAGCCCCCACCCCCCTGCAAGCCGGCACACGCCTGCCCATCACCTTGACAGCCTCTGACATCCTCCCCACACCCACACCCTCCCCCGCACACACGCAGTCCTCCCACGCCCTGCCACTCACACCCGCATCCTTGACACTCTGACACACTTACTCACACAGACTCACACTCACACCACAGCCCCCCCCCCCCCCCCGTGGGCACCACAGGGCCCCTGGCATGCACTTGCACACACTCCCTGCCATGATGACTGACACGTGTCCTCCCACACACAACTCGCTCACACTCACTCCATTTCTAGGACACCCCCATTCACAGCGTGACTTGTTGGCACTCTCTCCACGACCTCACGGCCTCCAAGAAACTCCAAGTACCAGGGCCATGAAGTGGTTAAAGCTGGAGTCCTGACTCCCCCCTTCCTGCCTGCTTTAGCCTCTCTGCTGGACTCCATCAATAATGCAGCTTCAAGTTCTGGGGAGACCGCAGGGGGCCCCCAGCCCGGCCTTGGCTCGCACTCCCCACCCTCCCAGCCCCAGGAGAGCACGATTCTTGGTGCTTATTGGCCACTTTCTCCTGAGCCCTCCCTCCAAGCACCCGGGCGCCAGTGCCACGCCGAGGGGACGGGCTGAGGACCCCAAGGCTGGGACCAGAGGGGTGAGCCCAGCAGAGACAGGGACACACGGAGAGGAGAGGCAGAGGGGGGGAGATCGAGGAAGAGCGGGAGAGGCAGAGACACTCGGAGGCGCTCCCAGAGAGCAAGGGAAGGAGAGGAGAGACACAGAGCCCCCGAGCCGGAGGTGCCAGGGGACCGAGGCCCTGAGCGAGCGCGGCGAGCGCGGCCGGCGAGCCCGGAGGGAGCCGGGGACGCGCCCAGCCCGGCTCGACAGGCGACCCCTCCTCCCCGCGCGCGCCCTCCCCTCGCGAGCGCGGTATTTTTATCTGTGCGTGAACAGCCCTCCTCCTCCTCCTCGCCACACACAGCCCGCCTGCAGCGCGCGCCCCGAGCAGCGCGGGGGAGCCGAGCAGGGACCGCAGCCGAGACCCCGAGCCCAGCCCCGCCGCCCGCCCCGCCGCCATGGACCCCAAGGACCGCAAGAAGATCCAGTTCTCGGTGCCCGCGCCCCCCAGCCAGCTGGACCCGCGGCAGGTGGAGATGGTAAGGGGGCAGCGAGCGCCCCGCCCGGGCAGCGCCCCCAACACACCCCGGGGGCTGCTCGGTGCTGCCGGGCGCTCGGCGCGGACGGGCCTGGGTGGGGGCGGAAGGACAGTCCGGGCTCTGCCTCGGCCGCGGCGGGGGCGCCGGGCCGCGCGCGAAGTTCGCTGGAGACTCGTGCAACTTTTTCCCCGGGCCTCCCTTCTGATCCCCGGGACCGGAGAGTTCCCAGCAGCGAGCGCCCGGGAGCAGGCAGGTCCTTTAGACCCTGCGCAGTCCCGCAAGGCTAGCCCCTTTCCCTGGACTGCCAGCAGGACCACTCCGCCCTTGCCAGATGGGGGAAACATCGCCGACCCTATTACACAGCAGGAGTTGGAAGCCCCTACCCCGCTGCCCTGCGTCTCTCTGGTCGCACCGCGTGTGCCTAGGCTGGGGTCGCCAGAACCTTGTTCTGACCTCCTTCTGCTGCCAGGTCCCAGGGAGGGAGAGGTGACCAGTCATTACGGAAGCCAGAACTCTTCCCACAGACTACTGAGTCCGAGGAAGAGCCTTCCTGGAGGCTGGGAGGCCTCAGTGGTGGGGGCGGGTGGGTTGTGACAGAGGGCTCCGCCCCCCCACGGCCCAGCGGGGGTCACTTGTTGCTGAGCTGCAGCTGACTCCCAACAGAGCAGTGAGAATGGGGCCAGTCGCATTTGGGGGGAGACCGGGTGGACGGTTGAGTCCTGGGCCTGAGCAGCTTTTGGTCTGGAGGGCAGAGGGAGCTTGGCAGGGGGAGGTGGCAGTTTCAGCTTCACTCACCTGGTTCTCTTTGTGCATTTCCCTGGAGCTCAAAGGGGACCTAATTAACCTACAGTTGGTCTGATTGCCAAGCTGATGGGGGGGGCAGTTGCTGGGAGTGCTCAGTGCCACCGCCATTCAGCTTGGCTCATGTAGCAAGAAGGGCAGCTTTTCATTTTTCACAAGGGCTGGGCAACAAGTTCAATGGCCTGACAGAGACTGCCAGAGGGGCCCAGTCCCAGGCCCCAGAGACACCCCCAGGTCCCTTTGGTCAGGGTCTCAGGCCCTCAGTGTGAGGTGGATGTGCCCGGGTTCAGCTTCCCTCTGCAGCTGGATCTGGTTTCTTTGGAACCCTTGAGCTGAACTTAGGTGGGCAGAGCCATGTGGGTGCCACCGCCCACGGGGCATCTTTCCCAGAAGTTCCATCCCTTGAGGCGGCTGGAGCTATAGCTAAGCCAGCTTTGGCTCCTGAGGTCTGATGTCTTCAGACACTGGGGAGAGGAAGGGCCCTGGTGGGAGAAGACAGAAAAGGAGATGTCTGTTCTGGAGTAGCCATGGAGTGGGATGAGCACAGGAGTCAGTGACTGGGGTTTTTTCTCCTCTTTTGGACTTGGTGTGCTGTGTGGCCTTGAGCACATTGCAGAACTTCTCTGAGCCTTGGGTTTTCACCTCTATAAAATGAGGGGGTTGGGTGAGCTACAGAGTTTCTTTCAGCTCTGACAGTCTTTGATTCAAAGGTTCCCTGGGGACTCCAAAGCACTGTTTGTTCCCTGCTGCCTGCCTGGGGGTGGGGGTGGGCTGCAGGTGTCTATCCTGTCCACCCCCCCCCCCAAATCTCCTTAGATCCGGCGCCGGAGACCAACCCCTGCCATGCTGTTCCGGCTCTCAGAGCACTCCTCGCCAGGTAGGGCCCCTTCCCTGCCCTACCAGCCCTGGCTCCACCCTAACTCTGTTGCCTTCCTGGTGGCCCTGCAAAAAGTCCTTTGAGTGGGAGACAGAGCTGAAGCCTGGGGAGTGGACAAGGTCTGGGAGCCCGACTCTACTGGGTTCATTTATCAACATGGCACCTCCCGACACCAGGAGGGAAAGGGCACACTTTCCTTTTCCCCTGAGATTGAGACTGCGGGAAAGTAACTTGGATTTCTCTCTCTCCCTCTTCTCTCTTCCTGCTCTCTCGGTTTGGTTTGGTGGCCTCCCTCAGAGGAGGAGGCCTCCCCCCACCAGGTGAGTTTCCTGGGGCAGCTGGAAGGAGGGATGCCTGGGCCATTTGGGGTGGGGTGGGCAAGTGCCTGCAGTGCCAAGCCACCAACACAGGGTGCCACCCGTGAGGGCACATTAGCATATCAGTCAGCATCTCCTCAGAGAGTGCCTGATTCCAGGATGCCACCAGCAGATCCTCCTCTGCTCAGACTCTGGTGGAATCTCAGGCACTTAGGGTCCTGCCCTGAACCACAGCTTATGGGGACCCTCCCAGGGCAACAGGGTGGAGAGCTCAGGCGAGGTGCAGGATCATTAGCAGAGGCTGGACCAGTCTGCTTGGGTTGCCAAGGGCAGCAGGGAATGGAGGGAGGGTGAAGGGAAGGGGCCGCTGGTGAGCCCATTTAACGTGGCATTTCCCTGGCAGAGAGCTTCAGGAGAGGGGCACCACGTCAAGTCGAAGAGATCCAACCCCTGTGCCTACACGCCCCCCTCGCTGAAAGGTACCACCCTCCACCCATCCATCTGGCTGTCACCTTGATCCCTGGAACTGGGCTGACACTGGAGGAGGGAGGTGAAATGTTGAGCTTTTGTCCATGGGGAGGGATCATTTTGTGCAACACAACCCCAATTTAAAAACCAATCCTTTCTTAATCTGGCCTTGCAAAACACAAGGAGCCCAGAGGCTGGAAAGGGCAGCTGTGGGCCCTAACATCAGGTTGTAGGGGTGAAAGAAAAGAGATGGCTGGTCTGCAGTAACCATCAGGCACGGGAAAGAGACTCGGTCCACACCTCCCTCTGCCAGACCACCTCCCATCCCCTAATCATCTCCTGGGGCTGCACCCCGCTCTCCCTGCCCATTTGCACAGATCTGCACACTGGACTGTTTCCTGCTTTTCCTTTCTGCACTAAAAGGCAAGGCATTTTTGCACACCTTTAAGGAGCACCTAGCGTGTGCCAGCTCTCACTGGCAGGCACTGGACAGAAGAAGATGGGTAAGATTTGGTCCCTGCCCTCCTGGGGTCCTTGGCCTCAAAGGCTCATGGAGACTCCAGCAAGGAGAGGATGTGAAGCCTGGATTTGAAGGCTCACGGGAATATATATATATATATATTGAGACAGAGTCTTGCTTTGTTGCCCAGGCTAGAGTGAGTGCCGTGGGGTCAGCCTAGCTCACAGCAACCTCAAACTCCTGGGCTCAAGCAATCCTTCTGCCTCAGCCTCTGAGTAGCTGGGACTACAGGCATGCGCCACCATGCCTGGCTAATTTTTTCTATATATATTAGTTGGCCAATTAATTTCTTTCTGTTTTTAGTAGAGACAGGGTCTCGCTCTTGCTCAGGCAGGTTTCGAACTCCTGACCTCGAGCAATCCGCCTGCCACAGCCTCCCAGAGTGCTAGGATTACAGGCGTGAGCCACCGCGCCCAACTGGCTCACAGGAATTTAACGGGCAGGCAAGGGCATCTGAGAGAGAGGGAAGAAGGTGTGCAAAGAGGAGGAGATGTGAGTCAGAGGGGGCTTTTGGGCCAACCTAGACTTGGTTTCTAGCTGGGGAGCTTGGGGGATACACTTGAAGGGGAAAGGCTGCAGATTGGAGCATGGGGCCAGCCTGAGGCTCTTCCTGCCTGGCCAGCCCCCTTCCTCCCACAGAGCTTGGGAGACCAACCGGAAGGGTGTGCTGAGAGCTCCCTTGGAGCTGGTTTAATAAGTTCCCAGCACCAGCCAAGGTCAACAGGTGCACCTGTCAGCCCGCCTGCCAGGGTTGAGAGCAGAGAGGAGAGGCTGGGAGGTGAGGAGAGAAGGGCAGAGGTTCTTCTGTTCCTCCAGGACAGGAAATGAAGGGGCACAGCTGCAGCAAGCGGGCAGTGTGGTTCAGCACCTGGACGGGCCTCCCTACCTGTAGGGATGTGTGGAAGGGCCCCAAAGCAGGCATGAGGGAGGAGGTGACATCTCAAGAGAGGATGTAAGAAGTCCCTCCCCTCCCTCCCCTGGGCTGGGGAGAGGCTGTGTGGCTGTGAGGGGGAAGAGCTGGGCTCTGGATTGCAAGCCTGGGAAGGCAGGCCTGGGGAGGAGGTTAGGGCCAGGGTGCTTCCCAGTACCCTGCGGCCGCCAAAAGTGTGTCCCCAGCCTGCTGCCGCTTTGGGCTACAGTTTAGGAGAGTCCAGGTGAGCAGAGGCAGGGCAGTGGGAAGGGGTCAGGAGAGGGGTGGGCAGTCTGGGGTCTGTGCTGGGGAGCTTCAAACTTAGAAAGGGAGACTTGGGGGGGTATCCAGGGCCCCTGAGATGGAGACAGAGAAAGAGACAGCCTGGGAGGGGTGAGGGAGAGACCCCAGAGAGCCCTTCGAGGCATGAAGGAGGTGAGGCGAGGAGTGAGAGGCTCACAGGCACCAGCACAGGTGCTGCACACACCCATTGTTGTCACTGTGGCTTAAGAACTGAACTCTCCTCCCCGGAGGGGAGACGGAAGCGGTCTGAGCCGCCACTCCTCTCCTCCCGTATCTTCCCACCAACCCTCGAAGACCCTTCTGTACCAGGAGGGCACTGTTTTGTAGACTTTAGCCCCCGTCTGAGCAAAGGAAGCATCTAGCAGGGTAGGGGTTTGTAGGGGAAAAGTCAAGAACCCTCGAGGGAGGTAGACGACACGGTCTTGGAGCAGGGTGCTTCAAGGCTGGAGCTCTCACACTTGGCTCAGGATGAAGATCTGCCACGTCCCCAAGGCCAGGGCAAGGAGATTTATTGCACTTTTATTGCCTGGGTGGCTTGCCCAGAGCCAGCAGGAGGCATTGGGCAGGGAGCTGGGGGCAGGGCGGGGCAGCAGGCACACACAATGCACCCTCTGTGCCTGTCCCCGAGTTGGCAGGCGTGCGGTGCCCTGCTCACTGCACTGGAGGTTTCCAGCCTGGACCTACCCCTCTGGGACTTGTGAGGGGAGGGGCTGCTGGTAGACTAAGAAGGAGTTGCAGCAACCCTACCCCTACTTGTCAGCATCTTGTCTGTGGCTTGTGTCCCATATGCTCTAGAATCCCACCAGCTCCTGCAGCCTGTCCTTACGGTGTCCCCTCTCCTGCCATCTCCAGAACCCTCAGCCCTGGCCCCTCTCTCCTGACCCCCTGCTCCTTTCCATCTTTTGGAAATGTCTCTCCAGCTGCCCACACTGTTCCCTTCCTAGCCCTACCCAAGCAGGTCTTTTGGCGGGGGCTGGGGGTGCTTTCTAGGTCACCGCAGAGGGAGCTGGGAGCTTGGGGATGTGGGTCAAGATTGCAGGGGCCGCATCTGAGCAGGCCACATCCCCAGGCACAGACTCTACTGGCTGCAGACTGTTATGTCCTCAGCCTCAGAATTGTTCCTACCCTCGGAGCCTGGGCAGGACTGTGCAGATTGGCACCTATGACTGGGCCGTGCCGGGCTGGTGACCGCACAGCATGGGAGGCAGGATCCGGGTGAGCAGTGAGCCCTATGCAGGCTGGGCACTGCCCCAGAAATGGCAAGGGGCAAATCCCCAGGTCCCGGCCCACAGGCGCTGTGCCCTCTGCCTGGGCTTGAAGCTGGTAGACACTGTCTCCAGTGCTGGGTTCTTGGCAGATGGAGCTCCGCAGCCAGGGAATGTTAAGCTGCTGCTGTGCCCGCCTGGTCTTGCCCAGCCTGGCGCCCTGTGGTGTGGGGGAGCTGCCTGGTGCCAGCCTCCAGGGGGCCAGCATCATGGGATGGCTTGAGAGCCAAACATGATCAAATCTACTCCCTGCTGCTTCTGCCCTGGTCAGACCCCCAGGAGACTGACCTGTATCCTTTGGCCTTTGAACTTGGGCCCCTGAGGGAGTGATCTCTGCAGATCCATGGGCTGCCTCTGGTTGACACTTGCCTCCCTGGGTCCCCTCTGTGCCAGCCGTGCAGCGCATTGCTGAGTCTCACCTGCAGTCCATCAGCAACTTGAATGAGAACCCGGGCTCAGAGGAGGAGGATGAGCTGGGGGAGCTTCGGGAGCTGGGTTATCCAAGAGAGGAAGACGAGGAGGAGGAGGATGATGATGAAGAAGAGGAGGAGGAAGAAGACAGCCAAGCTGAAATCCTGAAGGGCAGCAGGGTGTTTGGTAAGCTGAAGGGACTGTGATGCATGCTTCCCACCACCATGGGTTAGGAGTGGGTCCCTAAGTATCCTGAGACAACCCCTCCCGGTTCAGTCTCACACATGCAGAGGGCAGTCACACCACGGGGGCTCCCCGTCCTCTCCCTCCACAGGATGCCTCACACTAGCCCTACGTGAGACATGGGCTTCCTCCATCCTTGCTCAGTCCCTCTCCCAATCAGGTCTTCCACAATAATTCCTTTCTGCCCTAAGAATTAAGGCCAAAGCCACATGAGGTTTGAGGCTAGACCCAAAAGGACTGCTCAACCATGGTAGCGAGGGGATGTGAGGACACTCAGGGGTAGATGACTGAGAGAGTCCAACATCCCCACTGCCTGCGTTTCTGAATCTGGGATGTGGTCTCTGCCAGGATGCAGAGGGCTGGCTGATTTGCCCTGTTCAGGACTGTTTTCTCCCTCACTTTCCTTCCTAGGATGGGGTGAGAGGGTGCCCTCTAGTGTTTAGATGGAGACTCCAGGATTCAAGAACCAATCTGGGCTGGCCCTGTGGCTCACGCCTGTAATCCTAGCACCTGGGAGGCTGAGGCAGGAGGATCTCTCGAGGTCAGGAGGTTTGAAACCAGCCTGAGCAAAAGCAAGACCCCTGTCTCTACTAAAAAGTACAAAGAAATTAGCTGGACAACTAAAAGTATATAGAAAAAATTAGTTGGGCACTACCACCGCTGCTGACTGGCTTCTAGGTGCTGGTGCTGGGCTGGGCAGATAACTAATTATTATCTTGTTTAAGGTAATCTACACAACTTCCCTCTTACTATCTCCTTCAGAAAGGTACCCACTGACTCATCTAAGCCATACAGCTAGTCACTGGAAGAGCTGTCCTAGTCCAGTGCTCTCTCCACTATGCCATAATGCCCTCACAGAAGCTTAGCCTCAGCCATCAGAAAGACTCAGTTCATGCTCCAGGACAGTGAGATGGATACTCAGAGCCTGTGTTTTTATCTCTTCTTTGCTGTCCTCAGCTGGGCAGAAGACAGCCTATGGCCAGGGTCTGGAGGGGCCCTGGGAGCGCCCACCCCCTCTGGATGAGTCCCAGAGAGATGGCAGCTCTGAGGACCAAGTGGAAGACCCAGCACTAAGTGGTGAGGCTTGAGAGTATGGGATGGGGACAGCAGGGCTGGGAGCTTAGTAGGTGGGGCCTGTCCCTGAGTCCCTCTCTGCTTGCCTTGCAGAACCAGGGGAGGAGCCTCAGCGCCCTGCCCCACCTAAGCCTGGCACATAGGCACCCAGTCCTGCATCTCCCAGGAGGAAGTGGAGGGGGCATCACTGTTCCCCAGAAACCCACTCTGTCCCCGCCCTATTCTGTATCCTTCCTCTTACCTGCTAGGGCTGCGGCTTCTGACTTATAGAAGACTAAGGCTGGTCTGTGTTTGCTTGTTTGCCCACCTATGGCTGATACCCAGAGAACCTGGGCACTTGCTGCCTGATGTCTTCCCCTGCCAGTCATTCCCTCATTCACCCAGTGGGAGGTGGGATGTGAGAGCCCACAGTGGAAAATCCAGGAAACCAGGAACAAAGATTTGCCCTTCACAATTCTACTCCCCAGATCCTCTCCCCTGGGCACAGGAGACCCACAGGGCAGGACCCTAAGATCTGGGGAAAGAAGATACTGAGAACTTAGTTCCACCTCCATGTCCTCTCCTATGGGAGATGCCAAGTCATCACCCCTCTGCTCACTGGCTTGTACCAGGCCCCAGGACTCAGGCATCTTTCTCCACAGCCTCAACATTTTGGAAATCTTTCCCTTATTACCCCTGCTCTTCGTGGGTGCCTGGAAGATGGACTGGCAGAGGCTGCTTTGTTGCGTTTTGTTCGTGCTTTGATGCTGGAATGCCGCCTAGTATATGTCCTTGGGGTGCACATGGTGGGGCAGCCAGGTTCACCTTGTCCCCCAGCTACTCTGCTTCCTTCCCCTTCTTCCCTGACTCCAGGCCCGAACTCCTTCCGTGCTGTAATCTGTAATAAATCTTTGTAAATAACTGTGCTGAGATACCTCTTTAAGGGGAAGGGGGAGGGGAATGGAGGTAATGGGGTGTCCTGATATAGAAGGTTGGTGGTCATCCAAGGGTAAGCACTTTGACCCTAGCGTCCATTATACTGTAGCTGCTTTTCCTGCAGACAATGGGCTCGAGGCACTCTTAGGAAGGAAGGCAGAAGTTCTAGCTCCTGCCTGGAATTGATGAAAGTGGCGGGGATGGGGAGGAGTGAGGCATGGTGAGGGGCGGGATAAATCCTTCAACACTAACAGTGAATTCCTCCAAGGTACCTGTCCCCCACCCCCACAGGCCTCCCCTAAGGAAGTTCTCTTCCACAGTACCAGGCCAGTGTAGCCCAACAACGATGGCGCCCCTGGGCTTCTTTTCCATTCCCTCACCCCCGGAAGACACTCTTCCTGTCTAACTTTGGCCTTTGCCGCCATGGCGACGCTTCCTAGTCAGCGCCGGAGGGCTTGAGGCGGGGCGAAGGGCGGGACTGCAGCCAGACGCGCGCCCCGGTTCGCTCTCGGGGGCGGACTCAGCGGCGGAAGTGGCGCCGCTGGGAGATCTTCTTCCGCTCTGAGGTGCCGCCGGGGCCGCGGAGTAGGACTGCGCTGGGACAGCAAGAGCCGGGGCCGTGGCTGACATGGAGCAGGTGGGTCCTGGAGAAGTCACTGGGACTGGGGGTGGTAAGTGGGTTGTCTCTTGCCGGCCGATCCTGCCTCCCTGCCCGGTGTCCGACCTGGGTTCCGTCCGGCCCTTCCCACACCCCCCGCCATCCAGGTTCCGCCCCCTTCTGCTCGGCCTCGCTTCGCCCGGTGCGGGCTTCGCGACCCCAGGCGCTGACCGGCGGCGACCCCGCCCACCCTAGGGGGCCGAGGAGGGCGTCCAGGATCGCCTTCCTAAGTCTTCCTCTTGGCTGTGAAGGGAGAAGCTATGGGACAATGTGCGGGATTAGGGGGCAAGGGTTGAGTATGGGGAGGGGTCAGGATCTGGGAGGAGGAGGAGGAGGAGGAGGGAAACATCTACTCATTCTGGTAGGTCTGCGTCTCATTGTCATCCGGTGTCTCCCTAACTTCCTTCTGAAACGGCTGTAAATAACTTCCTAATTGATATCAAAAGTGCTCTTTAGAGTATCTTTGAGTTCTTAGAGGTGCTTAACATTGTTGACACTCAGTCCTAATTGACACCGTCCCCCTCTCCGCCCCTGTTAGCTCTTTCTCATCAGTCGCTCCTGATTTGCTTCCTACTGCTCTGACAGTAGGTAAGAAATGCCTCTTCACGTCCTCCTCTGTTGCCCAGCCCTTCGCTCTGTACACCCGAATCTGGGTGGTCTTATCTCCTCTCACAGCCTCAGCTTCACACCAACTAAATACTCTGGCCCGCAGCCTCAGCACAGCCCTTCCCTCCCTTCCCTGGAGCTCCAGACTTGGCCGCCCAGCTGCCAGTTGGACAGCTCCAATTCACATGGAGCTCACTGTGTTTAAACTTGACCTGGGCAGGGCACAGTGGCTCAGGCCTTTAATCCCAGTACTTTGGGATTGGGAGGCCAAGGCAGGAGGATCACTTGAGGCCAGGAGTTCCCAACCAGTCTGGGTAACAAAGTGAGACCCTGTCTCTACAAAAAATAAATTAGCCAGGTGAGGTGGTGCCTACCTGTAGTCCCAGCTACTTGGCAGGCTGAGACCTGGAGTTTGAGACTGCAGTGAGCTATGATGGCACCACTGCACTCCAGTCTGTGTGACAGAGCGAGACCCTGGCTCTAAAGAAAAAGTAACAGTGGTCCAGACTTGATGTCAGTCTGCTCAGGAAAACAAATCTGGGAATGAGTAAATGATGTTACATGGCAAGCATTAATTCTAGAGAAATATACATAGAGCTCTCGGAACCCAAGGGAGAGGTAGGCCGAGGCAGTTTCCCAGGAGCAGACAATTAGTGAGGGCCCTTAAAGCGAGAGGATGAGTTTACCAGAGGGAGGTAGAGGCTAGAGTGGGCTCGGAGAAGGCAAAGCTGGGTCCTCTGAACAGAGCCCCAGCGGGTCATGCAAGGGTGTGGGGAGATGGCGCTGAGACAGAGGCAGCTTTCTCTGCTGAGACTTTTGATTCTTTTCCTCACATGGCCGTGAGGAAGTGTCCCCCTGATTTAGGAGCCAGCGGGACTGTGCCATGCTCTGGAGGCCTAGGAGCCTCCCTAGGAGGCTGCCTTTAGGAGCCTGCCCTGGGACCGTGCTCTGGAGGCCTAGTACCTGGTGTTTCAAGCCAGGCCCCCTGAGGTAGGATCATTGTACATGCCTTTGGGCTGGGCCTGTGCCTTAGAACGGAGCCTGGGCTGATGTTCGCGCTCCATTGCGTGCTTGGAATGCCCTTCCTCCTTGCTTCCAGCCGATAGACACTGATTCTTCAAGGCCTGGGTCAGAGGCCCCTCCTCCCTGTGGCTTTCCTGACCTCACCCACTCCAGACAGGGTCAGATGATCCCTTCTCTGGGAGCCAAAGGTTCTTTGTTCATTCCTCCCTGAAAGTACTGATCACAACATGGCACCATGTTGATTATTCATGTCAGTCTTCTGCAATAGGAGCCCCTGTTGGACCAGAACAGGGTCCTGTGGCCCCAGGGACTTGCACAGGGTCTAGCACACTGTAGGCTCCCAATCCCTGTATGTGGCATTAAACTGAGCTCTCATACACCTAGATTTGTTAGGAGAGGGTAGTGCGGGTGAGACCCCAGATCCTGTACTTTTGGTGGCTTGTATGTATTCCACTGAGTGGTGGAGCTTGTTGACTCCATTTTATAGGTTAGGAAACAGAGATTCAGGGGAGGTAAGGTCAAGGTCACTCAGCAGCGATTTAAAGGACTCTCTCCTGACTCCAGGTCTGAAGCTGTCTCTCAGAAACTGCCTTGGGGTTCTAGCCTCCAGGGAGGCAGCTGCCACATCAGTGGGACAGAGGACAAGGAAGGCATCCCGTCTGGCCAGTTGTATGTCTCCCTGAACTTTTTCTCACCGGGAAGAGGCTAATCCTGCTTTTGTCTGCTAGGGTTGGTGCTGGGAGGAGCCTGTGCTGAAACACCCCACCCCTGTGGGGGGCTTTCCTTGAGAAGGCAGGGATCTTGAAGATGACGGGCCTTTCCAGACTGACCTTGGGAACTTGACCCCATCAGCCCCAAGTTTTACCTAGCAGCACTGAGGGGTGGGTGGAGGGGTGGGTGAGTAGGCCAGGGGTCATGGAACCGCAGGGCAGGGGCTTCCCTGACAATTAAAAGGGCCTGGCGTGAGGGGAAAGGGGGGCTGAGTAGATCTCAGTTCGTTAGAGTTTCAGTAAACTGTACCCATAAAGCTTCCCCGGCTGCGGGGAGGAGTGAGTGGCGGTGAATCTTGTTTCTGTTTGGCTTGACTCTTCCCCTTCCGCTTCCCCAGAAGGAAAGGAGAAACGAAGCCAGTCTTCAGCTTTGAGATCTTATTTGTCATTGCAGCTGTGCCCTCCTCTCTTTACACTCACACTTCTCCAGGGGACTTCCTGAACCCTCTGTGGGTGGGATGGGGTAGGGCCAGTAGGCCAACTGTCCCAAGGCTGATGGCATGGGTCACTGAACCCTAAATTACAGGAGAACCCAAAATGTGCCATCCTAGGTCAGCTTCCCGAGGCCTGGGCCCATCCTTCCCTCCAGCAGTACTGTTGGGACTCTCAGTTTAGGCAAAATGCTATGCTATGCCTGGCCCAGGGCCCCACCTCTGACACTGTGCCCGTGGAGGGCAATAGTAGCAATAGCTACCATTAATTAGGCACAGGCACTGTGCATGTGCTGGTTCTTGTCCTTTCAAGCACTGTGAACTAGGCACTATACTCCCCCCGTTTTACAGATAAGAAGACTGAGTGATTTGGTCAAGACCACACTGCCTAAGGGATGATGGCCTTGGCTTTTTCACTCTGGGTCTTATGCCCAACCCTCAAACCCACATCCTTTGCTGCCTGGGTGGACATGACAGATCCATAAACCAGCTCACTTATTAGACATGTAAGTGGCTGGGCACTGTGACTTGTGTCTCAGGCACTCGAGGGGAGACAGCTTTGAGGCTCAAGTCTAGCTGTGATAAGGGAAGGGCTAATCCAGAGTCCTGAAAGGTCAGGGGAGCTTGGAGGGTGAGGCAAAGCTTTGCCAGGAGGTGACATTTGAACAAGCCTCTGAAGGGTTGGAGTCCCCCAGAGGGAGGATCCCATTCCAGAACGAGGAGACAGGGAGCTGAGGCACAGGAAGAAGACTGGTTGTGGGGTGCCCTGGGAGCAGCCAATGGTCAGGAGAGTAAGGAGTGGGTGTCCACCCCCATAGCGAGAGCAGAGTGCTGGGGTCCCACTGAGGGGCGAGTCCTTCCTGCTTCTTGACCCTCCTCATCAAAGGGATTTAACTTCACCTGGAGTCTTTTCCCTGCAAGTTAGGGCTCAGGGGACAGGAGGGTGCCCAGGATATCACCCCCCTGCCTTACTGTAGAGGGGTGCCTGGGCCCTGGGCAGGGCAGGATGCCAGCAGAGGGTAGAGTCCAGCGCTGGGAGGGGCAGTCTGGAAGGAAGAGGCTCCTCCTCCAGGGCTGGGTGTGAGTCCTTGCCTACGTGGGCAGGTGCTGCTGTAGGGAAGGGTGTAAATAGTCGAGCTCATTCCCTGAGCATCCACTGCGAGCCTGGCGTGGTTCTGCTACTGCACCCGCAGCGTGAGCAAAGCTCAGGAAGTCCCTGCTCTTGTGGGATTTGCATGCCAGCGGAAGACCAGTGGACGTGTCATATGTCAGGGGTGACAAGTGCTGTGAAGAAGAATACAGCACAGGAAGAGACGAAGGGTGAGGTCTCAAGAGGGGTTCAGGAGAGGTGTATCCCCATTTGCGTAGAGACCAGGTGGAGTGAGGAGCAAGCAGTACTGAGACCTGGAGAGGAGCTCCCGCCTCAGCAGCAGGTGCCAGGGCCCTGGGGTAGGAGCGTGCGTGATGTGTCCAAGGACAGCGAGGGACCAGCGTGGCTGGAGTGGAAGGTTTAAGGGGGAGGGGGGACTTTGTAGGCCAGGTGGGCACTTTGGCCTTTACTCTGGGGAAGCCACCAGAGGTTTGGGACATTGGAGAGATGTGGTCTGACTTTTAACAGGATCCCTCTGGCTGCTGTGTTGACAGCAGACTCGGGGGGCTAGGACAAGGAGGAGGTCAGGAAGCAGGTGACAGATGATGGCCTGGACAGGGTAACATTGTGCTAGGTGAGCAGTGGGCAGATACTAGCTGGGTTTTGAAGGAAGAGACACAGGATTTGCTGATGGGTGAGATGTGGAGGGAGGGCACAAAGGCAGGGGGGCAACAACCTTGTGTTTAGTCCATTTCAGCCCAGTATGGGGAGGCCCACGTGGCCCTGGGGTCAGCTCTGCGCCTTTCTGGCTGGGGGAGCACGGGCAGCTCTCCCAGAGCTCCGGTCTGTTCCTTCCCTGGTGGGTTCTCACCCCTGCTCTTGGGAGGGGCATGATGTGTTAAGGAGAACATGTCCGAAGGTTGCCACTGCAGGCCACTGCCAGCCAGGTTTCTTTTGCACTGGCCCATCTGGGTGGTTTCCAGCCTGTTTGGTCTGCTGTCCTGCCTTCCCTGAACCAGCACCCTCCTGGGCTGGCCAGCAGCAGGACGTGGGCCAGAGCTAGCCTCCTCCACAGGGCCCTGCCTTCCACCCATCTGTGGAGTCTCCGGTAACCTGGTGTTCACAGGGGCTGCTTGACTCAGAACAACCCCAGGCCTGGCCTGAAGCCATGTCACCGGGCAGTTGGAGCTCAAAACCCTCTCTTAATCTGGAGAAGAGGGAGGAAAGTAATAATAGCTAACCCTCACACAGTGACCACGCTGTCAGGATCTGCTCTAGGCCACTGCTTTGAATAAGTCACTTAATCTTTGTGTAATAAAGATTATTAGCCCCATTTTACATAGGAGAAAACTGAGGCACAGTGAGGTTAAGTGACTAACAGGGTGGGAATTGAAGGTTTGGCTCTTCCCCTGGCTTGGGGTCCAGTTCTCTCTTGCCTTCACTGACCCCCCCTGATTTGTACTGAGTTAGGGACCCCTTGGGAAGCCCCCATAGCCAGGGTGGGGCTGGTGCTAGCATTTGCTGAGGAATGCAGAGTGGGGGGCGAGTGTTGAGTCTGTGTCTCCTGTCACCCCCGCCTCAGTAGAGGATTTGGAGAGTCCACACTGCCTGGGAACCTGGGTTATCGCTGGGTATCGATTCGGGAGCCAGACCAGAGACTTAGGGAGCTTGCTCTGGGTCACACAGCAGGTGAATTGCAGAGTTCAGATTGGAACCCAGCCCCTTCAGGGTGATTTTGTGTAGATTTTTGTTTTTGTTTTTAAGAAGGCACAGCCTGGGTAGCAGGGTGATTTTTATTCCAGGTCACTGTAGTGTATTCTAACTCCCTCCCCGTTCATTTCCCTCCTACCTGAAAGGTCTTGCAGGCTACTCGTCCCCTCTCAGCCACCACTGACCAGCACGTGCCATACTCCCTCGTGACACTTGCCTAAATACCAGCCCTATGAGGCAGGAGCTCTTGTTGCCTTTTTTTTAAGTCATGGTAAAATATATATAACATTGAATCTACCATTTTAACCATTTTTAAGAGTACAGTTCAGTAGCATTAAGTATATTATTATTACCTTTTATAATGCAGCAGAGAACACCGAGTTTTAGAATGGTTTTACTTTGCCCCAGATCACACAGCCAGGAAGGGGACAGTCTGAGATTTGAACCCGGACCTCAGAGTCCATTCCTTTTCCCCATACCAGCCACCTCCTGTTGTTTGCCTGGAGTCCTGTACGCTATCCAAGGCCTTATCGCAAGCAAGACTGTATTAATACATCCTGGGGCCGAGAAAGAGAAGTCATGAGAAGGCATCTGAGGGCCCGTACCTCCCCTCCCCTTCGCCTCGGGAATGATCCACTGTGCCCAGACACCTGACCACCCACCCCTCCCCACCCTTCCCTCTCCAAAATCTCTGATCGCCTCCCTTTCTCCTTCCTCCTCCCCCCTCCGAAAGTCTTAGCAGGTCAGCTTCCACAAACAGGCAGACTCCTTCAGGACACATGTCCTGCTCCCCACTTGATACCTCTGAAGGCGCTTGGGAGGGGCTGGTGACAGCAGGCAGTGGACTTGGCAGGGGGTGGCAGCCCTGCTCTCTCCAGCCTCAAAGTGCTCATTCCTGCCTTCCCATCAGGAGGGTGGGCGTGGCAGGGTGGGGGCTGACACTCACTGTTCTGGTGGCAGCTGCCTGCCTCTGCCCTCTAGGGCCTGGTGGCCTGGAGTCAGCCAGAGAACAAGTGCTTTGGGGACTGATGGCTAGGGGCAGTTCCAGGCCAAGGCGGGTTTTCACCGTGTAGACTGGCAGGTTGTTTGATGGAGCTCAAAGGCCTTTCGAAGACATCCGAGTGAGCCACATTTCCAGACTGCAGCCAGGGAGGCCTCGGGTGATGTTGGAATTTGAGGAAAGGCTGATGGTGGCACTCTACAGCCACCTTCACCCATAGCAGTAAGGTCTTTGTCTGTTTTATATACTGATGTTTTAAGTAAGGGTTTACTTATTTTTAAGTTTCTCTTGCTTAAAAAGAGGGGTTTGAAAAACCACTGACCTTTTTCCCCAGATAAACAGAGGTTGATGAGAAGGACTTGTGCAAAGTTACTCAGATCAGTGGCTGCCCAGGGACCGGGCTGCGGGTCTCTTGACTCTGGACCGGTGCTCTGTCTACTGCACTGGCTCCCGTTTGGACTCTGAGCTGCTTTCCGTGGGAGAGTGGTGTGGAACCCCCTTTCTCTGACTCTTGGCCAGCAGCCCCCACCCCTGCTCCAAGCCCCCACGCTTGGCTCCCGCACCCCCTGGCATCTTCAGCTCTCCCAGCCTCTCGTGACACCTCTGCTCTAGCCCCATCTGCGTCTCTCGCTTCGACAGGGATGTCTGGGCGTGTGAGTGTCAGTGCAGTTGCCACTCCAAGTGCGTCTCACACCCAAGCTGCTGCCACCCAAGTCCTGTCCCCAGGGAGGGAGGGAGAAAGCCAGTGAGAAAGACAGACAGACATAGAAGCAGACCAGAGGAGGGAAGCTACAGCACCCAGAAGTGAGGCAGGAAGTGGGGGGTGAGGGGATGATACAGATAGAGAAGTGAAGGGGGAGGGGGAGAGAGAGAGAAAAGGGGGGAGAGACTGATGGGGGTGGAGAGAAAGACTCAGAAATGGGAGCGAGATGGAGAGGAAGACCCAGACGGGGAAAAATACAGACAGACACGGATGACGATACATTCTGTGGGTTGTGGGGAAACAGGCATTCTCATACATTGCTGGTGGGAATGCAAACTGCAAAGGGAACTGGCAATACCCAGCAAAGCTACATATGCAGTTTGACCCAGCAATACCACTTCCAGGAATCTGTCCTGAAGATACACTTCCAACAACACGAGGGTATATTTATGCAAGGTTATTCATTGCAGCATTTCTGATAATTACACATCTAAATGCTCATTCATAAGAGACTGAATAAACTGTGGTTTGTCTATAAAATGGAGTACTAAGCAGCTCTATAAAAGAATATAAAACTGAGATGGAGTGATTTCTAGGATATACTGTTAAGTGAAAAAATAACATGCAGAAGAACATCTATCGGAAGCTGTCCTACACGTAAGGAGGGATAGCTGGGAGTGGTGGTGTGACCCTATAGTCCCAGCTACTCAGGAGGCTGAGGCAGGAGCATCACTTGAGCCCAGGAGTTCGAGGCCACAGTGAGCTATGTTTGTGCCACTGCACTCCAGCCTGGGCGACAAAGGGAGACCCTGTTTCTTAAAAAAAAAAAAAGAAAGAAAGAAAGAAAGAAGAAGGGATATAAGAAATATATACAGGTATTTGTTCCTTTGTATAAAAAAAGGATAGGCCACACACTAAAGAGGTATGTTACTGTTATGGGTTTTTTTTTTCTCTCTCTCTTTTTTGTTTTTTTCTTACAGCTCCACCTCCACACACCCTGTTTTGTGTTGTTGAACTGTGCTCCCCACAAAAAGATAAGTTGAAGTCCTGACCCCTCTACTGCAGAATGTGACCTTTCTTGAAAGTGGGGTCATTATAGATGTGATCAGTTAAGATGAAGTCATACCAGGGTAGAGCAGGCCCCTAATCCAGTATGACTGGCGTGCTTCTAAGATGACCACGTGAAGACCCGCACAGGGAGGGCATCATGTGACAATGAAGACAGAACTGGAGTCATGTAGCTGCAGGCCGAGGAAGGCCAGATTGCCAGCAAACCCCAGACACCAGGAAGAGGCAAGGGGGATGCAGAGGGAGCGTGGGCCTAAGGACACCTTGATTTCCGTCTTCTAGCCTCTTAAGTGTGAGATAATCAATTGTTGTCGTCTTAAGCAAACAAACAAAAAACCCCAAAATAACAGCTGTGGGAAAAGGAGAAGGATAAAAAGTCACAAAGCACAGATGGAAAGTTACTTTGTGACAGATACAGGAAAGAGACAGAGAGAAATAAAGAGAGAGAGGGAGGGAGACAGGTCTGGCAGGACACAAAAGGGCTATTAGAGACAGGGAAATGTCACCTGCCCTGGAGCTGTGGCGGTCATGGTGAGGGATGTGCTGTGTGTGCAGTCTGGCACTGAGCCGGCTGATGGATCTTGGGGGTCCCATGGCCGGCGGCCTGTCACGTCCCCTCTACTGACTGCCTTGTTCCAGAGCCGGGCTTAGCTCCCCCCAGTACTGTTGAGATGAACTTGTCATGGGCACTCCAAGACTGTGGTACCAGGGAGTGGCCTTGGGCGAGTGCCCCTGTCAGGGAGGGGCTGCTCCAGGGTTCCTTTTCCATTTAGAGTTCGTGAAAGCCCCATGTTGGCGCAGGATCTTAAGGGATTAGGCACATCCTTTCATCTCTCTGATGGCTGTTTTATCTGTAAAATAGGAGGAATCACCCCTGCCCTGTGTGGGCACGAACATGGCCGTGGACACGTAGACATTGGGCGGCAGAACGCTGGTCCACTTTGGAGTGGCTGGCTCTTACTTGCTTCGGGTCTTCTTACTTGCCCTGGTCTTCTCCGCTACACAGCGTAGAGCTGAGTGCCAGGAGACCCTCTGGAAACTTCATTTATTCAACAGTCAATTATGAAGCACCTGTTATGTTACAGGCTTTGTGCTGGGCACTGGGAACATGGCAGTGACCAAGTCAGATAACGCCCCTGCAGCCACAGAGTTTTCGGTTTAGCGAGAGAAAGGGTCGACGGTAAAATCAAACAGTAAGGAAGATAACTTGAGGTAGTGACAAGGTCACTGAAGAAAGTAAAGCAGTGTGATATAATATTCTGTGAGTGGGGCAAGAGGCTGGGAGGCTCTGAGGACAGGACTTTGACTGCCAGTTGAAAGGACTGGGGGAGAACATTCCAGACATGGGGGAGAGCCAGGTACAGGGCTCTGAGACAGGACAGAGCACCTGTGTTCAGGGGTCTAAAGGAAGGTCAGAGTGGTAGTGGCAGTGAGACGGGGCGTAAGAAGAGCAGTAAGATGGGCTAGACTGGGCAGCCTGGACTGAAAGGGCCTGGTGAGGAGGGGCCCATTGGCCTGAGAATGGTGGGCAGCCTTGGTGGGTTGGGGGGGCAGGACCTGGTTGACGCTTTGGAGAGCTTTCTTTGCACCACTGCGCCGTGGAGACATGGTGCTGGAGGGTGAGGGGGCAGCCTGGAGGCCCACCCCCTAGGAGCGGATTGCAGCTGTCCAGGCAGAGATGATGGTGGCGGTCCTATGGAGTGTGGAGGAGCGAGAGGGGGACGGTGATGTCCTTGCTCGGTAGCCCTGTCCCAGCTCCAAGCACACAGACAGCTCTAGGAAGGCCCTCCCAGTTGCCATGGATGAGGGGGTGGGAGGGCAGGGCTGGCTGCTGGGAGGGAAAGTGGCTTTGTGCTTGGAAAACAAAGAACAGAGCTTGGGGCCCTCTTCTCCTAGGGGTGGGGGCAGGCCAAGAGGCTGTTGACAGGACCAGAGTGGGAGCTCAGAGCTGGGCTTGGCAGGAGCAGGCTGTGCCCCCAGGCATTGGGGAGGCGGGTAGGTGCCCCCAGAGCCCTCCAAGGGTGAACTTTGGGGCCCTGGGCTTTGGGGCAGGGAGGGCAAGGACAGAGAGAAGGATGCTCAACCCCCCCATCCCCCTTCAACCCCCCCAGCCAGGCCGGGGCAGGCAATTTGGGAAGAGTGCCCTGGGCCGCGCGGTTGAGACAGGGTGGGAGTGGGGTCAGATGTGTTTGGGGACAAATGGGTCGCCTGGGAGCTGGGTGCGAAGGGACCTCCAGGGCCCTGACCGGCCCCTCTGCCTCGCCCGCAGCCGTGCCGCTGAGGCCCCGCCCTGCCCGCCCTGAGGTGGGGCCCACCAGGATGAGCAAACTGCCCCGGGAGCTGGCCCGAGACTTGGAGCGCAGCCTGCCCGCCGTGGCCTCCCTGGGCTCGTCGCTGTCCCACAGCCAGAGCCTCTCGTCGCACTTCCTCCCGCCACCTCCGGAGAAGCGCCGGGCCATCTCTGATGTCCGCCGCACCTTCTGTCTCTTTGTCACCTTCGACCTGCTCTTCATCTCCCTGCTCTGGATCATTGAGCTGAACGTGAGTGGGGGCGCGGCAGGGGCACCTGCCACATGGGAGGGCTGCGTCCCCCACGAGGTTGGCTGTCTGGGGAAAACGGAGAATAGCGGTTCTCATCTTGTGGGTGAAGGAGATGGGGCTCAGAGGGGTGGAGTCGTTTGGCCAGGGTCCCTCCGCGAGTGTGTGAGGGAGGCTGTGCTGAGCCGACCCGGCCCGGAGCTCGCCCTTGGCCTCCGCGCCATGCCGCCCCCTAGTGGAGGTTGCCGAGAAAGGAGGCGGGCTCCGATGCAGCTGTTGGAACCTGTTGTCTTCTGTCCTATTGCTCTTGGGCTCTAGTTCATTCGTTTGTTTGTTCATTCATTCATTCACTAAACATGTTTTGAGTCCCTGCTGTGTCCCAGGAACTGTGCTAAAAGCAGAGGGTACAGTGGGGAGCGAAACAGTAAAAGCTCCCAGTTGCCAGTGGCCGTGGCTCCAGTTTTGGCAAGATGCTGCCTGGTGCTCTGGAGAAGGTGCAGGGTCCCAACCCTCACCCCCACCCCACACACACAGTGCTCGGCCCACCCTCAGGAGCACAGTCTAGCTGGTGGGGGCCTGATCTGGTCTCTGGGCACTGATGGGGCAGAGCCCACGGAGGCAGGAGCCCTGGGAGCAGGACATCTCTGGTGTGGTCCAGTCCCAGCTCATCGTAGGTACTGACTGTGGCTCAGCGAGGGGCTCAGCCTCTCAGCCTCCCTCATTTTCCCTGGGCAGCATGGGCTCGCCATCAGAGTTCTGGATGGCAAGGACCCTTCCTCCAGGCCTCAAGCTTGGGTGACAGGGAAATGATGTCTTTCTCGATAGAAGTATGGAGTTTGGGGGCCTGGCATGGTGGCTCACGTCTGTAATCCTAGTATGATTTCCCTCCGAGCCGAGGCGAGAGGACTACTTGAGCTCAGGAGTTCAAGACCAGCCTGAACAAGAGTGAGACCCCCGTCTGTATAAAAAACAGAAAAATTAACTTGGTGTGGTGGGATGTGCCTGTAGTCCCAGCTACTTGGGAGGCCGAGGCAGGAGGATTGCTTGAGCCCAGGAGTTTGAGGTTGCTCTGAGCTAGGCTAACACACAGCACTCCAGCCTGGGAGACAGAGTGAGACTCTTTCTCCAAAAAAAAAAGTGAGGAGTTTGGGGAAGGGGCTGGTTTAGGGACAAAGAGGGTATGTTTGATTCTGGACATGTTGAGCTGGAGGGAAGGACAGGGCTCTGAGGATGACTGTACTTTGTACACCGGAGATGAGCAGGCACCTTCAGCGAGATGGGGCCACAGCATGGAGGGCCTTGGAGGCCATCTTACTGACAGAAAACCCAAGACCCAGCAAGATTCGGAGCCTTTGGCAGAGCTTCTGAGGTGTTAGGAACACTTCCTTTTGAAGGTCCCACCCAACATCAGGGCAAACCCTAAAATTTACCTGTCTCCTACATTCAATACATATTTCCTTGCGAAGGAAGAGCTGAAAACATTTTGATAACTTTACTTTTGAAGTTATTTGGCCATGTCAGCTGTACTTGCTCTGCAGTCATCATTAATACTCTGGAATTCTTGCAAAGTGAGAGAATCTAACAAATTGTTTTCAAATGTAATGAAAACTTTCAGAATACTGGATTTGACAATTAGTAGAGTCAAACCTGATGTTTCACTTGGCAGAGATTTAATTAGAATTTTATTAATTTTCAGTTTTATACTTTTATTTTCATATTTTGGAGCATATGTACTTTTAGTTCCCTGACTATGTCTGTATTGAGTGGATACAAAGACCCCATTAGGGCTGTGACCAGCGTGGGGTCTTGAAGCCAGAGACTGGCAAAGCAGGGACTAAAACTTGCCTCTCTCGAGTCCTGATCCAGTCAGCTCTGGTGGGTACCCAGGCTGGGGGGGAAGAGGGCAGAGGACAGACTTCAGGGACATCAACTGTGAGCGTGAGAGGGGCTGTGGAGCCCACGAAGGAGCTGTCTAAGGAATCAGAGGAGGGCTGACTGGGCTGGGGTGTGTGTCAGAGCTGGGGGCCTCATCAGTGGGCCAGAGGATGTCGAGTTTCATGGGGCTCAGGTGGTCTGGAGGTAGAGGTGGTGGCATGTGTGGTGGCGTTTGAGTGTCAGCAGGGAGCTCTGCAGACTGTGGGCTCCTTCTCTGAGCATCAGAATCACCTGGTAGCTTCAAAAAGATCCCACGGCCAGGCGCAGTGGCTCACGCCTGTATCCTAGCACTCTGGGAGGCCGAGGCAGGCAGATTGCTCGAGGTCAGGAGTTAGAAACCAGCCTGAGCAAGAGCGAGACCCCGTCTCTACTATAAATAGAAAATTAATTGGCCAACATATATATATATAATTGGCTGGGCATGGTGGCACATGCCTGTAGTCCCAGCTACTTGGGAGGCTGAGGCAGGAGGATCGCTTGAACCCAGGAGATTGAGGTTGCTGTGAGCTAGGCTGACGCCACAGCACTCACTCTAGCCTGGGCAACAAAGTGAGACTCTGTCTCAAAAAAAAATAAAAAAAGATCCCACATGCTCAGAGTCTCATCCTGATATTCAGACTTGGTGGCCTGAGCATCTGTATCTTTAACAAACACCCCGAAAATTCGGGTGACCAGCCAAAGATCTGAAGCTCCAGCCTAGGTGGTTATAAAGGGTCTCCTTTCTCAGGGTTCCTGTGCTCCATCCCCCAGAGTCCCCTTGTGTCCTCCCTTCTCCAGGGGTGGCGGTGCTAGTGCCCCCACCTGCAGAAGCATAGGCCTGCCACCCCATTCCTTCTGTGGAGTCGGGCTGCAGTCTGGCCCCTGGTGCCCTTCCAGACCACCTCATCCCCCAGACCCCTGGACACTGGAGTCCAGGCCAAGGTCTCAGGGGTCCTGGTAAAAATGTATGGTGTGCTGGGTAGGGACGGGCAAGGACATGCCTGCTCACTCTCCATGTTATCCTCTGCAGCAGTGTGATGGATTTTGCCCATTAAGCACAAACCTAATCAACTGATTTGCCACCTGAGGCTCCGTCTGACACCACTACTCATCCCTGGCCCTTCACCCCAGATGGATTGTTGGCTGGGAAGATGGAGCACCCCGGTGTGGGAGGGAGATGGAATTGCATGAGAGGCAGGCTCCCACACCCCGTTTAGGGCCCACTGCTTCCCCTGCACAGCCCACAGCCTACCCCTCCCTGGGCAGTGTACTTGAGCCCTGCTTTGCCCTCCAGGGCTGCCTGGGCCCATGGAGGAATGCTGTTGGTGCCTGGGGTCTGGGGCCTCTGGCTGAGCTCCCTTGGTGCCTCAGGGGCCCCTGTGGGGTGGTGGCTTAGCACTTACAGCCTCTCCTCTAGCTTCTACACTCCCCTAGCTCCCCGCCAGTCTGGGAGGTGAGGGGCAGCCCCAGGGACTTGGTTCTGCCTGCAGAGCTCTTCCTCTCTCTCTGTCCCTCTCCCAGACCAACACGGGCATCCAGAAGAACCTGGAGCAGGAGATCATCCACTACAACTTTAAAACCTCTTTCTTTGACATCTTTGTGAGTGGCCTTAGGAGATCCTGGGGCCCTGGGGGGGAGGGGGGAGGAATGACTCCAGCTGGGTTCTCTTCTTTCTGTAACTCCTGTCCAGTCTGATCCCATTGTCCAGGAGCCCTCAGTCTTCAGAAGGCTTCCTCAGTGAGGCCCTGCTTTCAGAGAGCCCCAAGTGGGAGGGAGAAGATGAGACCTCTGTCCAAGGAGGTCACATCCAAATTGTCCTAAAGGAACGCTAGCTCAGCCATTCTCTCCTGGGGCATGCCCACCCCCCTGGAGGGATGTGGGGGAGCAGGATGGAGGGGAGTCCATCCTGCAGCAGGGTGGGGGTGTTGGCTCTCTGTGATGGCTTAGCTCACACCCCCCTCCAGGTCCTGGCCTTCTTCCGCTTCTCTGGACTGCTCCTGGGCTACGCCGTGCTGCGACTCCGGCACTGGTGGGTGATTGCGGTAAGATGCCACTTTCCTGGCAGCTCTTGGGCCCTGGCGGGGCTGGTGCAGGGGATGGGATGGAGGCGGACTCACTCCCCAGCCTCTGCTTTCCTTCTCTCCCTCCTTGCCTCCCCTGGGCAGGTCACTACACTGGTGTCCAGCGCATTCCTCATTGTCAAGGTCATCCTCTCTGAGGTCAGTGGCTCAGGGTCTGGCTGGTCTGGTGGGCATGTGGCCTAAGGGATGGGCTTCTCCTAAAAAAGGACCATTTCTCTGATTTCTCTGTCCCTGTTGTCAGGATTGGGGAGAGGGCAATCCAGTCCTTTGATACCTCTAAGGAATCATCTTCACCTGCTTCCCCCACTCATCCCCCTGCAACCCCAAGAATCAGGAAGTTCTTCCTCCAGCCTAACCTCAGTTTACCCTGCTGCAGACTTAATTAATGCTTCTCAGGGGCATGTGCCACAGAGGGTTCCCAAGCAGCTGGTCCCAGGCACAGGGTCTATGCCAGTTTGGCTGGCCAGAGTTGGTGACCCCAGGAGAAGACTCTGGTTTGGGGTGACCGCTGACCCCTGCCATTGAGCTCACCCCCCTCCCTCCACAGCTGCTCAGCAAAGGGGCATTCGGCTACCTGCTCCCCATTGTGTCCTTTGTCCTCGCCTGGTTGGAGACATGGTTCCTCGACTTCAAAGTCCTACCCCAGGAGGCCGAGGAGGAACGATGTGAGTGCTGGGGACTGGGAGCTGTGGCAAGGGTCATCCCTCCCCCGAGTGAGCAGGGTCTGAGCAGCCTCCAAGAGCCTGGAGTGAGCCTAGGATGGGGGTGCCCCAGGCTGCTGAGGCATGACTGTCCTTGGTCTGGGACGATGGCTGCCCATATCCCCTCCAGGGTATCTTGCTGCCCAGGCTGCTGTCGCCCGTGGACCCCTGCTGTTCTCCGGTGCTCTGTCTGAGGGCCAGTTCTATTCACCCCCAGAATCCTTTGCAGGTGAGGGCGGGTGGGTGGCAGAGCTGCCTTCAGGGAGGGGCCTCGTGAGGAGCGGGGTGGGCCAGGTCTGTTCTTTCTATTCCTTCTAGCAGGCTCCCTGGGGAAAGCCAGCAACCCTCTCCCACACGCTTTTTCCCCCACATCTTGCACTCACGTACCCGACCCCCACTACCTCCCTGCACTCTCTCCCCGCCCCTTGCCATTGTCATCGTGCTTGTTTTCTGCAGGGTCTGACAATGAATCAGATGAAGAAGTTACTGGGAAGAAAAGTTTCTCTGCCCAGGTATTTGGCTGCCTACCCCGCCCCTGCCCTGGGAAAGGCACCCGCACAAGGGCCAGCACCGGGCTGGGCCAGGGTGGGCAGGGGGTTCCCAGTAGAGGCTAGTCCTCGGGCAGCACGAATGCCAGGCAGTGCCCGGGAGGCCAGCCCAGGCCCCAGACACGGTGGGTCAGGCTCCTCCAGAGGTGTGTGGAGTATCCAGAACAGGCCACAGACAAGGTAGGGTGCAGGCCCCAGGCTGACCCCTTCCTGCCTGCCCCTCCTGGCCAGGAGCGGGAGTACATCCGCCAGGGGAAGGAGGCCACAGCGGTGGTAGACCAGATCTTGGCCCAGGAGGAGAACTGGAAGTTCGAGAAGAATAATGTAAGAAGCCCCTCTGCCACCTGCCCCTCCCATGTGTGTTTCTTCTTCCTTTTCTGAGGCCTGAGAAATGAACCCAGGATTACATGGCTTAGAAACAGATTCCTGCCCCAAGAGAGGGAGCCGGGGCCCGGGGCTGGCCACTGGGCAGGGGGCCTGGTGGGATGTCTCCCCTCCAGCCCCCACCCCGTCCTCCCCTCCCTGCCGCCCTGCTCCCTGGGGTCTAGGCTTTGAAGGGGAAGCCAGGCTTCTATCCTGTGTGCAGTGTTTTATTTCATGATCAAAACAACATTATCTACAAAGATTGCAGAGAGCTTGGGAAACAGGGAAACCTCCCCAGTCCCTCTTTCTGGCCAGCTCCCTTGGCAGCCCTGTCGGCCTGGAGATACGGCTTTTAGGGGTCACAGCCGCGGCTATGCTCTTGCCTTTTAACTGAATATCAAAGCCTGTTTCTCCTCCGTGCCGCACATTGGTTAGTACCACCGTTTGGTAACGGCTGCTCAGATACCCCCAAAGTCCTGTAGTCTTCACCCTGAGCTGTAGAAAACCTGCCCTGCCTGTCACCCTTCCTGTGCCACCAGCCCACCCCTGTGCCCTCCACCTGCTCTCCACCCTCCTCCCTGCTACCCTCCTGTCCCTGCCACAGGAATATGGGGACACTGTGTACACCATTGAGGTTCCCTTTCATGGCAAGACGTTCATCCTCAAGGTGAGTGCGGGAAGTGCGTATCCTGGAGCCTCCTGCTCCGTCTGGGGCTCCAGGAAGGGGCTGAGGGGCCCTCTGGCAGAGCCCCCCAACCAAGAGGGAAGGGCTGGGGTACCCAAGCATATCTGGCCTCCCTGCCCAGACCTTCCTGCCCTGCCCTGCGGAGCTGGTGTACCAGGAGGTGATGCTACAGCCCGAGAGGATGGTGCTGTGGAACAAGACGGTGACCGCCTGCCAGGTGAGCCCAGCCTGGCCACCTCTCATGACATGGATCAGGGCATAGTCAGGCTGCAGGAGACCTGGACTGTGTCACCAAACCACTCTGTGCCTCAGCTTCCCCATCTGTAAGTCGGGGACGATGGTCACAGCACCTCCTGGAGAGGCCAGGAGGGCGGGAGGGAGGAATGCGCACAGAGCGCCGGCCCAGGACCTGTGAATGGCGACAGCTCCCAGCACGACAACCTAGGCAGAGGGGAGGCTGGCCTGGGGTGTTCCTGTCCCTGGGTTTTCCCTGGGGTGGGCTGCATCTCACGTCTCCCCTGACGGCCCTCAGATCCTACAGCGAGTAGAAGACAACACCCTCGTCTCCTATGACGTGTCTGCAGGGGCTGCGGGTGGCGTGGTCTCCCCCAGGTGAGCACCCGACAAGCACCCTCCTCGTCAGGCCTGCTGCACTTGGATCCTGGGCTCAGCGGCCCCATCTAACCCTCCCTCCCCCAGGGACTTTGTGAATGTCCGGCGCATTGAGCGGCGCAGGGACAGATACCTGTCCTCAGGCATTGCCACCATACACAGCGCCAAGCCTGCCACCCACAAATACGTCAGGTGAGCCTCGCCTTGCCCGGGGTCATCCCAGCCAGCCCCTTCCCCCAAGCACTAGCGGTGCAGGGTACACTGTGTATAGCCCAGGCAGTTTCTCCCGCTGAGGCTGCGTTCCTGTTCCCTGTCCCACTGGGCTCTGCCCCTCCCAGCCCCTAATCCCGCTAATCTTGCTGCTCTGTCTGCGGGGGTTAGGGGGGCTGGGGTACTGGAACCAAGCCACCAAGGCTGGTGGGAATGTGTGCAGGGGGTAGCTGGCCGGGGCTGGAATGTAGGTGGGGACCAGTGCAGGGGAGAGGCCTGGGAGCCACGTGGTTAGCTGGGCTGTTGGACCTGAGCCAGAGGTGCTGAGCTCTGGGTGTCATTTTCCTGCCTAAGGAGACACGGGTCTCCTTTCCTCCTCCTTGCCCTGTCCCTGCTGCTTTGCCTTTCTCCTGGAGCAGCTCAGAAGTCCCCCAAAGGGAGAATACTCATAGTCTTCCTGCTTCCTGTCCCTGGGCTTCCTCCAAATCTTCCCCACTGTCTGATCTGAGACTGCAGTGCTGTGGGTGGCCCCCTCCCATAGAACTCGATCCTCCCCACCCCCTCCTGGGGCTCCGGCAGAGAGCACTGGTCTTTGAATATGAGACTGGGCTCTGGTCTTGGCAGACTTGCTGGGTGACAGGACAAGCTCACTTCCTCCCTGGGTGGTCCTTGTCTGTGGCGTGGACTGAAGCATGCTCGGTGGGCTATGGGAATGAAATGTCTAGGGAATGTGAACTGTACAGCCCAGACCCTGACTGCCCCCTCCTGAGAAGGTGCCCCAAGTGAGAAGCGCCAGCTCAGCCCCCTCCATCATAGCCAGAGCTGACCTGGGATCTCTGGGGCTAGTGGATAAGGGCTCGGAAGGTGGTGAGCTCCCTGTCACCAGGGGTATGCAAACACCAGCAGGCTGTCATAGGAGGACTGCAGCATCAGAGAGTGGATGAGGGTGGAGGGCTGATACTGCAGCCTCTGGAACACTTGTGCTAAGCCTTATTCAAACAAGGTAGTTTCTAAACCAGTGTCTGCCTTCCCTCTTCCACTCTAGTCCAAGCTGGGCCAAGAACGGGGTATGTGGTTGTCAGGGGCATGAAACTTGCTCAGTTCCAAAGTCCCCTCAATGATGCCTCTCTCCTTAGGGGAGAGAATGGCCCCGGGGGCTTCATCGTGCTCAAGTCGGCCAGTAACCCCCGAGTCTGCACCTTCATCTGGATTCTCAACACAGATCTCAAGGTGGGGTGCTGGGCGCTGCCAGGCGGGCCTCGTGGCGTGGAGAGGACTCTGCTGCTGACTTGGTGGCTGAATGACCTCGGGGTTCTCTACCATGCTCAGGGTCTCCCCTGCCTCCTTTCTTACTTAAAAATTTGGGGCAAGGTCCTAGTGGTCATTTAGCCCTGATTGCTGTAGGGCACCTACCCCTCTTCTTACCTCTGATTCCCGAGGTCCCGAGGAGGGGTGGCTGGCTGCCCGCCCAGCCTCGCCCGGGTCTGTTTGTGTGGCTGGTGCCAAGACCTGGGCACAGCATGTTCTTCCTGCCAGGGCTGGGGGCGGGGGTGGCCCAGGCTGGATTCCAGAGCTGCACCTGCATTCTGGCCCAGAGCACCCCTGCTGGTGCCACCTGTGAGGGCAGAGCTCCTGCTGAGGACAAGTCGTCATGTAACTTTTGCCTGCCTTCCCCCAGGGCCGCCTGCCCCGGTACCTCATCCACCAGAGCCTCGCCGCCACCATGTTTGAATTTGCCTTTCACCTGCGGCAGCGCATCGGAGAGCTGGGGGCGCGCGTGTGACCATGCCTCCTTGCCCACCCTGCAGGCCAGGGTCCTGTCGCCACAGCCTCCAGAGCCAGAAAGGGGGGCAGCTGGGCTTCCTGCTGTTCACACAGGACCTGGCCCCAAGCTGCCACCATCCACTGAGCCACTCTGTGCTGGAGCCACCGCCCTGGGCAGGTGGAGGGTCGAGTGCTCAGACTCGGGGACTCTGCTGGCCGGAAGAAGTGGGGTCTGTCCTGTTCTTATTTCCATGGGGTGTCCCCACCTCCTGGAGGAGGAGATTTCTGTCCCCTACCCTGCCAGGGGCAGAGTCTGGGATGGGAACCTCAGACCTGGTTGGAAGGGCCAGGGCCCTGGGCAGGACAGGTCAGGGCTGCCTGTCACCAGTGTTAAGGTGAAAGAGCCCTTCGTCTGCCTGCTCTCAACATGGTTTTTAAGGATTTTTTAAAGGGTCTGGGACCTTTTACTATACAAAGTTGTGGGGGAATGGGTGGCAGGTGGGGCGTGGTGGGTGCTGGCAGTGTGTCTCTGCCTCTCCCAGGTTGTTTCCTTTCTCTGAGGGCCTCCTTGAGGACCCTTGTAATTTGAGCCAATTAAAATTATGAACTCGGAACAAAAAAAGCAACCCCTTCCTCTGCCTGGCCTCTTGAGGGAGAGGAGGGCAGTGCTGAGATGGGGAAGGAGTGAACATCACACAGCCCAGCCTCGAAGTCACAGGAGGGCAGAGCCAGTGGGAGCGTTTCCTGGAACACTCCGCCCCCTGCCTGACCCGTTCAAGTGAACAGATGACAAGTCAGAGAAAAATGCCCCCACCCCCACCCCCCCGCCAGGCATCAGGGCAGATTAAGGTCTCCATCCCAGGATTGGGGGGGTGAGGGGAGGCGCTGGGCTGTGTAGGCCTTGACTGTTTTGGGGGCCTGGAGCTGGGGCCTGAGCTCTGGGATCCCAGCCACTCAGAACCCTGAGCCTCTCGGGCTCCACTCGCCCACCCCCTCCGCCCCCACGGCCCACAACAGGGGCAGCGTGGAGCCTGGAGTCCCAGGACACTGCCTCCTCCCTCCCTGCCTGCAGGCTTCCCCAGGAGCCACCTTGTTTAGAGCCAGGTGGATCCTATCTTGGTCCTGGCTAGGTGTGTGGCCCTGAGCAAATCTACCTCTCAGACTGTTTCCTACTTTGTGAAAACGGGACTAACATCATAGGGTTGTGATGAGATTGAGATGTCAAGAATGGGCATAGTGCCGCAGTAAGCAATAGTATGCAGTTCTGCACCCAGGTGGGTGCCCACGGGCCTTACCAGTTGCTGGGTACTCTGCTGTCCCCACGAGATCCTCAGCCCAGCTCCTCTTCTGGTGCCTTTGCTTTGTCTACTCAGCGATGCCCTCATTCCTCATCCCCCCACATAGCCCCCACCTGTGTGCCAGCCTCTTGCACCTTGAGTTGCTAGCTTTGGCTGCCGAGCTGTCCCTACAACCGTCTTTCACCCCTGCTCCCCGTGACTGAGAGCCAGCCTCCCAGGGTGCACGTGGAGCCGGGCTCAGAGCTCTCCTGGCCATTTTACTGTGGCCAGAAAGTGGGGCCCCAGGAGGGGCAGAGTCTGACCCATGGTGACATAGCCTATTTCTGGCCAACTTGGGGCTGGAGCCAGGTTTTTGACTGGCATTCGTCGGGGCCCCGGAGTACCATTTCACCCCAGGTGAGGTGTTGAGGCAGATCTGGGGGCTCCCTCCACCCCACTGGCCCGCCTTAGGAGACCACTTCTCTGCCCACTGGCCACGGGGCAGGAAGACACCTGGGAAGGGTTCATGCCCAGGGTCCCAGGTGGGGCACTGATGTCCACCACCCCTGCTGCTGCTGTGGCAGCGGTGGTCAGGGACTAGGCCTTCGGTGCAGGGCCAGAGGACATGGCTGTAGTGTTTCTCCTGGTCAGGGGGCACCATCTGAGGATGTGCCCTTGAGCCCAGGCAGAGGAGAGAGTGGCAGGGGCAGGACCTGGCAGCCTGGCATGGAGCGCAGGGGGGCACCAGTGCCTGCCCTGTTTACTGACAAGCCGCTGTCCTCCCTGGGCAAAGGGATGTGGGTGGGGCAGAGGGCGAGTGCCAAGGGGGCACGAGGCTGGGCACGTGGCTGGTCTGAGGTGGTGTCTGAGGAGCCTAGGGCACCTGAAGGTGTTGCTCTGAGGACCCCAACCCCAGACCTCCGGCCCCAGGGCAGCCAGGGTCCAGGTACCCCAGCCCCTGCCCTGGGCCCGAGTGCCCCCATCAGTGAGTCTTGGCTCTGCTTATAGCATCTGACGCCAGAGGGGCTGAAAATAGCCCCTGGAGAAGGGGGAGGAGGGGGTTATTTAAAGGGCCTGGGAGGAGCAGAGCAGAGAGGGTGTGAGGAGTGATCATGGCCACTTCAGAGCTGAGCTGCCAGGTGTCTGAGGAGGACTGCGAGCGCCGAGAAGCCTTCTGGGCTGAGTGGAAGGACCTGACGCTGTCCACGCGGCCTGAAGAGGGGTGAGTGTGGGTCAGCGGGAGTCACACCTCTGCTCCCCCAAAGCAGCCACATGGGGCTGGAGCACAAAGCCCTGGAGAAGTTTCTGGGGGTGGGGACAGGAAGAATGCCTGCTGGGGAGAGCGAAGCAAGCGGAGCCCCCTGCCCAGCCTGTGACTGGAAAGCAACCGCTCCCAGAGCTCAGGGTCCCCTCCCCTCCCCTTCACAGTTGCTCGCTGCATGAGGAGGATGCCTGGCGCCGTGAGACCTACCACCAGCAGGGGCAGTGCCAGGCGCTGGTGCAGCGCTCCCCCTGGCTTGTGATGCGGATGGGCATCCTCGGCCGCGGGCTGCAGGAATACCAGCTGCCCTACCAGCGGGTGCTGCCGCTGCCCATCTTCACGCCCGCCAAGATGGGTGCCACCAAGGAGGAGCGCGAGGGCACCCCCGTCCCACTGCAGGATCTGCTGGCACTGGAGACAGCCCTGGGTGGCCAGTGTGTGGATCGCCAGGAGGTGGCTGAGATCACCAAGCAGCTGCCCCCCGTGATGCCTGTCAGCAAGCCCGGTGCCCTCCGCCGCTCCCTGTCCCGCTCCATGTCCCAAGAAGCACAGAGAGGCTGAAAGGGACTGTGACTCGGGCTCCACTGTGCTCGCCCTGGGCTGGGCCCTTCCTGGCTAGGACTACGGAGGGGAGCTGCTGGCCATGGGTGCTTCGTAGTTTGCCCAGAATTGGGGGCTAGAGGAGGAGGGAGCCAGAGGCCAGGAAGCCTGAGCCCACGGAGTTCCCAAAGGGAGGGGGGCAAAGACGGTGGGTACTGAGGGTGGAGAGCTGGGGACCAGCGAAACCTAGTACCCCAGCCCAAGGAGAAAGGACAAAAGATGCTGCTGAGGGCGAGAGGTGCCTGGGAGGAGTTCAGCTTCAGAGAAGGACTAGGAAAAGTGTGAGGGGATCTGGAATGCTCTAGGCAGGAGGCTTGGAGAAGACCGGAGGGAGGGGGACGTGATGAGGGCAGGGGCAGGCATAGTGGGGCCCCCAGCACGCTGTTAGCGCTGCAATAAATGCTCAGTCGTGTTGCAGAGTCTTGTCTCTTGCCTCGTGCTTGCGGACAGCCCATTGGTGCCCCCCCCCCCCGCATGCCCACTTCTGGGAACAGGCCCTGCATCTGAGCTAAATATGGCAGAAGTGGTGGGTACACTCCCTGCCTGGGAGGGGGGCAGGCACAGAGCTGTAAACAGGGTGGCTGTCTATCCGGTCCCCTCTTGTCCCCTGACTCTGCTGCCCAGCCCTGGCTTCCATGTCCAGCATCCTTGGCATGGGACAGTGCCCAGCAGGCCAGCTGGCATCAGGATTTGTTTCAATGATGTCTCCTGGAGAATATGGAAGGGGCTGGCACCAGGACTGTCCTTGGCTGTGCCTCAGGGTGTGGATGGGGTCAGTGACCCTAAGGCTAACCTTCCTCTCAGTTCTGAATCCAGACAGAATCAATCCTTGGCTGGTGTCAGGGTCTCCACCCTCCCTGCCTGGGAGTCCAGGGTGGGCTGGGGGTGGGTAGGAGGTCAGGTTCCTGTCTGTGACCCCTGCAGCTGTTGTGGTGACTCATGTCCCAACCTGGCTGCCTCACCCAAGGAGGCTTTCCCCTTGGGACAAGGAGGGTCAAGGGGACCAAGAACGGATCTGGGCAGGGGCTGGTAGCCTACCGAGGACAGAGGGGCACCCGATACGCCAGAGGGGTCTCACTTCAGGAAGACCATGGAGATGCTGTGGGCAGAATCGGTTTCCCATTTGTGGGGATAGGAAAGAAGACCCTGCCATCTTGACAGCCAGGTACCTGGAGCGCCCAGCAGAACCTACAGGTGTGGCCTGGCTCGCTCCCGCACAGGAGGACTGGAGTGTGACCTGCGAGGGGAGAGGGGTCAGAGACCTCAGACCCGCCGGACCCCAAATCTGCGGACGCCCGAGGGCCCGGACTGCGCCCCCTGGTGGCCCTGGGGGCCCCGGGAGAATGCGCCCGGAGCCCTCCGCCCGCACCTGGGGCTGCGCTGCGGACTTGGCGGGAACATCCCGAACCTTCTGTCTTGGGCAGCCCTGAGATAAGCGGCGTGGAGCCGCGGGGCCCGCGGGGGAGGCCGGGCTGTTCCGCCAGCTAAGTGCATTAGCCCCTCGCGCCTCCCCTATCGCTGCGGCCATCGGACGGGCGGGGCCCGAGCCTGGCTCTGGGGCCCCGGAGCGACCGCAGCGGAGGCCAGAACGGACTGTCCTTTCTGGAGTGGAGGGAGGGGGCGCTGGAGGCTGAGGGTGGGATAGGAAAGGACAGGAGAGGATTGGCGGAGGGGCGGAGAAGGGGAGCTGGGGTGGCATTACTAAGGAAAGGGTGGGTGTTGGAAAGGACTCCGGGAGGAAGGGGAGCCTGGCCTGGCGGAGGTCTGGGGGCGCTGGGAGACGGGGCCTGGGGAAGAGGCTAATTCAAACCATGGGGAAGAGAAGGGACGGGGCGCTGGGCCAGGGGGTGATTGGCTGCGGGGAGCTGGCGAGAAGACGGACGGGAGGAGCCGGGCGGCGGGGGCGGGAGAGGAGCTCGGGCGAGGGGCGCGAGGCGGGACTGGGACGGGCAGGTGAGGCGCAGAGGGGTGGCTGCGGGAGCAAGCGGGAGCGGTGTGGGCGGGAGCTGACGTCCCCGCGGCCGCCCCCTCACCTCCGGTGTGTCTGCTGTTCGGACACTAAAGGAGATGGATGGGGTGGGGGAGACGTGGCGCGCGTGGCCCCGGGCGCTCATCACTCCGCGGCGGCCCGCCGCCGAGGGGCCGGGCCAGGGGTCTGGCGGTAGATAAAGGGGCCGCGGGGCGAGCGGCGGACAGCGCGGGTCGCGGTAGCAGCATGAGCGGGGCAGACGCGAGCCACGCCTCGGGCGCGGCCCCTGACTCGGACCCGGGCCGGGCGGCGGTGGCCTCGGCCTACCAGCGCTTCGAGCCGCGCGCCTACCTCCGCAACAACTACGCGCCCCCTCGCGGGGACCTCAGCAGCCCCGACGGCGTCGGACCTTGGAAGCTGGGCTGCTTGGCGCAGACCTTCGCCACCGGTGAGCGCGGGGAAACGGAGGCACTGGGGACAAGAAGTCACAGGGAACTACAGGGCGCAGAGAGAGACAGAAAAAGAGAGTGAGAGAGCGAGAGACGCAGGTGGGGATCAAGAAGCAGCAAATAGAGAGAGAAGAGCAGCATCCCTTGGGAGAGGGCAGAGGGGAGAGCGTGGGGAGGGGAGAATGCTCAGGACTGAGAGCCAAGGTGGGGGATGCCGCAGAGAAGGAAATGGAGGCAGAGATTGGGGAGGGGAGAAACAGCGGGCGCTGTGGAGATTTCCGCACTAACCCTCACTGGCAGGCAGTTTCCTAGAGATGGCACCTGAGTCTTGGAGAGGTTAAGTTCCTTTCCCAAGGTAGGTGAGTCGGTGTTGGAGCCAGGACTCGGCCAGGTTGTCTAACTCTCCTTTTTCCAGACAGAGCCACACTTACGGGGAGAAGGAACCAGAGAGTGGGAGGGAGGAGCAGGCAAGGAAGGGGTGACTGAGGCAGGCCTGGCACCGGCACCCTCTTCCTCTGCCCCATTCAGGCGAGGTGTCTGGATGCACACTCATTGACATCGGTTCAGGGCCCACCATATACCAGCTGCTCAGCGCCTGTGCCCACTTTGAGGACATCACCATGACAGATTTCCTGGAGGTCAATCGCCAGGAGCTGGGGCTCTGGCTGCGGGAGGAGCCGGGGGCCTTCAACTGGAGCACGTACAGCCAGCACGTCTGCCTCATTGAGGGCAAGGGGTAAGGGCGAGAGGGTGAGGGCTGGGCAGGGGCTTTCCCGTAGAGTGGCTGGTGGGGGCACAGAGGACTGAGTATGGGGCAGTCCTAAGCCCCACCTCGTGCCCCTGCACAGTGAGTCCTGGCAGGAGAAGGAGCGCCAGCTGCGAGCCCGGGTGAAGCGGGTCCTGCCAGTCGATGTGCACCAGCCCCAGCCCCTGGGCGCTGGGAGCCAGGCGCCCCTGCCTGCCGATGCCCTGGTCTCTACCTTCTGCTTGGAGGCTGTGAGCCCAGACCTTGCCAGCTTCCAGCGTGCCCTGGACAACATCACCACACTGCTGAGACCAGGGGGGCACCTCCTCCTCATTGGGGCCGTGGAGGAGTCGTGGTACCTGGCTGGAGAGGCCAGGCTGGCAGTGGTGCCGGTGTGTAAGGAGGAGGTGAGGGAGGCCCTGGTGCATAGTGGCTACGAGGTCCGGGACCTTCGCACCTACACTATGCCTCCCCGCCTTCAGACAGGTGTAGATGATGTCAAGGGCATCTTCTTTGCCTGGGCCCAGAAGAAGGTGGGGGTGGGGGTGTGAGGGCCCAATGTGCCAGTGCCCTGTCCCCAGCCACTCAGATTCCCTATTCTCTGAGGTGGCATCTAATAAAGAAGTAAATCCCTGCTGCTGAGTGTCAGTTTTGTCTGTGGCTCTCCTGGGAAGCAACAAGGGCCCAGAGATCTCTTCTGAGTGTAGGGTATGGGAGGCATCAACCCTAGGCTTTCCTTTTTTTTCCAGAAGCTTCTTGAGGGTAGCTTTCCGTAACCACTCATTCTTCCCAAACTAAGGTAGGCCAAGGCCAGGGGAGCTCATTCAGCTTGCACAGTGCACCAGGCACTTGTGATAGACAGTTATTGCATCATTCAGTCCTGCATTGGGCAGTAGGTCCTGGTGTCCTGTTTCCAGGTGAAGCTCAGAGAAGTTAAGTAACAAATAATGGTGCAGCCCGGCTCAGACCAGAAAGGGGGACAGTAGGGGAACTTAGGAGACTGAAGTGGAATTTGCAGGTGGTGGGGAGGTAGGGGGTATTGCAATCTAAGCACAAAGGCCAGGGCAGTGAGAGGGAAGAAGTGGCACCAGCTGCCTCCCCCCCAAGCTGGACTTGAGCTCTGTCCAGCTCTGCACCTGGTCCAACCCCCACCCCCAGAGGCTGGGGTGGAGACTCCACTTTTGTCTACTGCCTCCAGGCAGCTCTGGGTCCTCTCCTTCCCTCCAGCGCCTCCTCCTCCCCCAACTATTCACAGGAATGAGCTGAGCAAGGGTAGGTGAGGCTGAGAATTGATTTATTAAGCATGTCCCTTGCTACCCTCCTACTTTAAAATCATTTTCAGTATCAAAAGAATCTAACATAGGCCACCCAAGTCCCTGAGGTTGGAGTCCTAGCAAGCTCCCCTCCCTCAAGGAGGGATGGGGGGGCAGGAACAAAGCCAAATCCAGTCTCCCTGCTCCAATCAGAGACTGCTTTTGGGATGGAACGTTCTGGAGCTCCACATTCTACTCTTGTGTGGCAGGACTGTGCCAAGGCTGCTGGTAACTGGCAGGGGGTCACCTGTACTGGGATGCAGGCATAGTGTGGCTCCTGCCTGCCCTGGGGCCCCCTGGGACAGTTAGCCCCTCTTGGGAAAGCAGAAACCAGACCCAGCCATAAGCTTTCTCCCCTCCTCCCTCAGATCGCCCAGTCCCTCCCAGAAGTCCAGGCTGTGGCAAAGGGGCTGCCAGTAGGGAAAGGGGGGTAGAGGGGGAGCCCAACTATACCAAGGCAAGGAGACAGGCTGGAGAAAGCCCCAGGGATCCCCATTTCCCTTCCTCTGTCCCTAAGGGGCTGGTTCTGGAGGATGCTCTTAAGCTGTGTGGGGGCCCTGTGAGGTTTGGAGGGAGGTGGCAAAGGGGCATGGGACAGGAGCACATCCATACACAGGCAGCCTGGACACCTGCCCCCCACCCCCGCCAGAACATGGGGATATCATGCCTGTCTGCCTGGCTGGGGCCTCAGGCAGAGTCGGTGCCCAATAATCAACTATTGATGGTGACATGATTTTCCCATCTTGCCCCAGCCTCCTCCGACTGTGTGGCGCACTCACCTGCATCCCCACGCATCTGACGCACCTCATGCTCACGTGCACATTCCCCTAACCCACGCTAACCCACCCACCCCTGAACACACACACTTTGAACCTGCCCCCTCCCCGCCAGGCACACACCCCATGCTCCACACGGCACACCCCAGCCCAGCCTCACACACACCCAAGTCCATGCTCACGGCCCACCCAGATACGCAACTGGTCTGGCCCACACTCCTGGACATACTCATGTGCAGACTCCCAACCAGGACAGCAGCACAGGATTCTTGTCCTGAGCTCGCAGGTGTCCTGGCCCTAAAGGGGAATGTGATGAGGCCTCCTGGGAGTCTGGCTGGGTGAAACTATCAGGGTGAAACCCCTCCCCAGTCCCATGGGGAGAAAGAGACTGGCCTTGAAACTCGGCTAACCAAAGAGGAAGCATCCAGTGCCACCTAGTGGTGCCCTGGGGGAGGGCAGGGGGTAACCGAAGGGGACCCCACTGTTTCCCCAAAGGCAGGTAGTGCCTGGCGTCCCAGGTGTACCTAGGGCTCTGGGACCCAGCCAGGCAGCAGGGGATCCGGGAGGAACCTGCTGGGGAGGAAACAGGCAGCTCTTCTCTGAGGAGAGCTAAGGACACACTCAGTTCTGTCCAGTTCAGCTCCAGAAACCAGAGGGGCTACCCGTTCTCCAGCCCCAGATCCTGGGAGGCCATCCCCAGAACAGGCTCTAAAGACCTTTGAGGGCTAGCAAGGGGGTGGGCTAGCCACATGATTCTGGGCCCACATCCCTCATGTCCAAGTTCAAGAGGCTAAAAGGAGAAAAGAAATCATCGCGAGGGTTGAGGGGAAAAGGGGAGCCATCAGGGAGGGGGCAGGATCCTGCTCCCAGGGTCCTCAGTCCAGCTTGAACTTGGCCTCCGATTCCTTCAGCAGGTACAGGCTGTCATCTTCCAGAAAGCTGTGGGCCGAGGGAGGAGCCCACTGAGGCAGGCAGCTCTGAGAGCTCCCTCGGGGGCGGGGTGGGGGGAGTGCAGCAAGCTGGGAGGGGGCGGATGGGCGCAGGAGCAGGCAAGGAAGGGCACAAAGCAAGTAGGCGCCAGGCAGGGAGTAGCACCAACCTGAAGAAGAGGACGTGGACAGGGATGGTGCTGATGTGCCAGATGGCATGGGCGTCCAGGACCCAGAAGAGAGGTGGGAAGTCGAGCAGCTCAAGCAGGGACAGCCCCTGTAGCAGCAAGACCACTGCCACGCACTTGCGCACGTGAGGCAGCCGTCGCTGGTTCCGCAGGCACCAGGCCAGCCACCACACCATGTTCACCAGGCCTGGGTGCCAGTGGGGGCAGGAAAAGCTCATTCCCTGGACTCCTTCTCCCTCCCCAAGGCTACCCCCAGCCCCATGCTCTCTGACCCCAGGATCATCCTCAGGCTCTCCCAGCCTCTCCTCTCCCACCTCAAATTCTTTCCCCTTCCTCCACCCTAAGGGTCTCTCTAGAACCTCCTCCAGGAATGGAACCAACCCTCCCACCCACACCCCAAGCCAGCAGCTTTGCAGATAGCCCAAGGCCCCTGAGGCCTCAGCCCTGCTCACCAATAGCCACGTTGGCTGCCAGGTTGTAGCCATAGTCGAAGCGGATGAGGCTCAGGTAGGAGATGTGCGCGGTCAGCATTAGCAGCAGGAGGGCCCGGAAGGCACTGGCCACAGCCGGGCGCTGTAGCCCCACGGTCCTGCCCCACCATCACCGTCCAGAGCTGCTCAGAGGGTGGGCGGCCCATCCCCAGAGCAGCATCCCCTGAAGCATCTCCTCCCCTCAACATCAGTATGTGCTCTCTGAAGCCACGAAGCCCTTCCCCCACCAAAACAGGCTAGCTGGACAGGCCTCCCGCCTCCCAGAGGCCAGGGGCCAAGTGTTACAACTCCTAGTAGGGAGCCAGGGTCCCCCAGTGCCGCCAGAGTCCCCATCCAGGACAGCCCAAGGGGGTGTTGGGAGACCAGGCTCTCAGGGCAGCACCCCCAGGAGAGGGCTGGGTAGCCCTTTTCTGTCCCTAGGGCCTGATTTTGGCCCTGCAGCCACCAAGGCAAGCTCACCTGACACAGCACAGATACACTGAGTGCAGGATGACGGTGGAGGCACAGAAGTAGTCCATTTTCTGAGGACAGGGAGAGCCGTGGGAGCCAGTGTGAGGGGAGCAGGGATGGACAAGGCTCCACAGAGAGCAGGGCCCAGAGAGGACACACAGGGATGGGGGCAGGGAGGGGATGGGGGTCCCGGGCTTGTCATCAGCAGGGACCGTGTCTCTTGCTCCTTCTGCCTATTGCTGTTTCACTCCTGAATTGAACAGGCTGACCCTTGAGCTCACATTTTACTTTTATATATTTATTTTTGAGTCAGAGTCTCACTTTGTTGCCCAGGCTAGAGTGCCGTGGCACCAGCCTAGCTCATAGCAACCTCAAACTCCTGGGCTCAAGCAATCCTCCTGCCTCAGCTTCCTGAGTAGCTGGGACTTCAGGCATGTGCCACCATGCCCGGCTAATTTTTTCTATATATTTTTAGTTGGCCAATTAATTTGTTTCTATTTTTAGTAGAGACAGGGTCTCGCTCTTGCTCAGGCTGGTTTCGAACTCCTGACCTTAAGCGATCCTCCTGCCTCAGCCTCCCAGAGTGCTAGGATTAAAAGTGTGAGCCACCTCGCCTGGTCCATTTTACAATTTTTTAAAAATGTGCCAAGCAGCAAGGCTTCAGAGGCAGCGGTGGAGGGTGGCCACCGCGGAATGCAGAGCCCAGTCCAGAGCTCGCCAGCTGTGGACTCAATCCGGATTGAGCCCCTTTACTACCTGGGTGACCCTGAGCAAGTTGTTTCGCCTCTCCAAGGCTCGGCCACCTCCTCGGTCAGAAAGAGGCAACAATCATACCTATCTCACAAGGTTCAAATGCAGCCCAAGTGCACAAATAGGCCTGAAACGCCTCGCTCAGAGTACATGCCCCTCAGAGGAGTCAGCTACAGCCCAGAGCCCCGCTCTGCCCACCCCTCCTGGGCTCCTCTAAGAGAGTCCCACGCAGGAGGGGGCGCTGGAGGGGCACTCACCTCTGTGAGGTTGGTGTCCCTGGTGTGGAAGACGGTGGACCAGAACCAAGCGTTGAGGGACACCTGAGGAGGGACGGGTTGGTGAGCGCGCTACCCTGGGGTCGGGGAGACCCTCAGAGGGTCACATCCACCTTGCCTTCTGGAAGGGGCTCTCTGGGGTGAGAAATGTGCTTTCCCCTGGCCTCTGGGGGCCTCTGAACAAATCCGTGTCCCTCCGCCCCTTCCTAGCCTGGTTCCCCATGGTGGACTTCCGGCCAGCCCAGGTCCCCAAGGCCACAGGGGGCTGCAGCCTCTACAGGTTCCCAGGTTCCGGCCTGGCCTGGGAGCCAGTTCTGACAGAGCCAAGTTCCTCGGTTACTCAATCCTCAATCGCTAAGACAACAGCCCCCAGGGGCCTTGCCTCCTCCCCCAACCAGCAGGTGATGACAGCCCCACCCGGGCCCAGGGGAGCCAGTGACCTCAGCCTCTGGGGGCGGGAATGAG